CTCACACCACAGTTTTGACTCTGATTCTCTTTTGCTGTAACACTTGTTGGCACTCTACTTCCTAATGCATATGGCACCTCACCCCTGTATTCTCCAAACTTTTCATAATGTGCCAGTGAGATCTTTAGGCGACTGCAGAGTTGCTCATCAACTGCAATGTCAAGTAAGGAGAGTTCACCACACAATAGCCCTGAGGCATGACATTCGCGCATTGCTATGAGTAGTTGGTACAAAATGAACAATATCTTAGCGTGGCTGTTAGCCAGCTTAGCTGGACTGTAGGTGACAATATCATGAACAGTGTACTGCGTGTATGGGAAAACTACATAAAGAATCTCTTCTGACTCCAACAAGCATTCTACAGGAAGCACATTTGGACACACACTGTCAGTAATTTGTTTGGGGGATGAGCTGCTGGATGGGAATGGGCAGTCTTTCTCCTTCTCTTTGGCTGGAGAGAGGGACGGTGACACTCGATCGGTAGAGATAAAGGCGGAGCAAAACAGTTTCTGCAAGGCTTGGCGAACAGCATCTATGGCCAAAACAGGTGTCTGCTCAATCAAATCTGCATATGGTTGCACATGATTCATGTAAGCTTCATGCCACAGATTTCTGAAGAAAAGAAATGCAGAGAAAAAAACTCAACATAAGATATGACAAGAAAACACTAATTCACCAAATGTGTATTGCTTGGCAAATAGAATAAAAATTAACACCACAATAGATTTCTCACGACATCATAATATCGAGCATGAAAAATGGATATTATTCAATTTGATATTTGCTTAAGATTATATTAAACAGTGTTATTAAATTATTACATCTTTTAAAGAATAACTTGAAGTGAACATTAGATATGGCAAAGGCAATCTAAATGTAAAACTAGTACAAAAGAGCAAGCAAAATTAAATATCCAATTCTATCAGCAACAACAACAACAAAAAACATACGTAGTTTGTTATACATCACAATAAAAGATACATTTTAACAGATTAATTTGATAAACAGAATTAAATACAACAATTATGCAAGCATATTATTCTCATAAAAAACATAGTAAAGACAGAGTAATGTACCTTAAATTAGACTGGGAGACCCCCTGCATCAGAGTCATGAAAGAGTCCTGAGAGAGTCCCTCCCCATGGCAGCCTGGCTCCCTAGCTAATCGGTATCCCAGTTTACGCTTTCTAAGGCCTTGGATACAAACACGTGTCCAACCAGATGGCAATTTCATCTGAGAGCGCTGGAGAAGTGTGCATATTTCCCCCTCACTAAAGCACTCATATCTTGCACAGCGAGTAACTCTCCTGTTTCTCAGGGCCATTACCCAGCGAGTTGGGACCAGGACCACCAGTTCATTGGGTCGCTGACTGGGTCCAGTCTGCCGCTGATCAATACCCAGGTCCCTCTCCAAAGCTGGTGCTAACCACTCCATGATCTCTTTCAGTAAATCAGACTGTGGCCTTTGTACGCCCCCTATAAGAAGCTAAGAAAATGTCAGGAATGACAAGAAGTAAAATAAAAAGCATTAAAGATACTATTTTTTGTAGACATGCATACTGTATACCACATATGCTCAATCTCATGGCATAAAACAATAACTTTTTAGGAAACACCTGGAAATGTGTATTATATCCACTGCAAAAGACTGCAAACTTGAGTAATATACTATGGTAAACTTAAGTAATGTACGGTGCGCAAGTCCGGTGACACGAAATATATAAGTTACTGTAGACTACTCTAGATGATCTTAAAAAGCCATTTTACATTTCAGTATCCACTCAACACTGTATGACAATAATGCAGTACTCAAACAAACTAAAATTATTACAACATTTAAATGTAAAGCTTATGACGTAAGCTACAGATGTAAATTAGTGTAAAATAAAACTTTAAAACATTGTGACTTTATAATATTTTACAAACTTGAATCATTTTATAATTATTTTATTATACAAATAATGTTATGCATATAAAAATTAAAATATGTGATATTTAATAAATGTAGGTGTCCATATGTTTGCACTGTAGAAGCTTGCAGATCAAACCATCTTCGCTCAGCAACAACTAACGTAATGATTTGTCGAGGGAAGTAACAGTTCCTGATGTCATCACGCAAAATGTCATTACTCCGTGACTGTTCTAAAACACTTCAGCAGAATAACTACAATCATAATCACATCATAATCCATAACCTAATCAACTGAAAATATCGAGCGATAAAATGTATTATTAGGCTACATAAATTCGGTAACATTTTCAGTTCCTCTTAAAACTGCCCAGGGGATAAGGAAATGGTGCAGTTCTGTCAGTACTCGCCTGTAAAGTTACTCAGAGTAGCACTGCTCTATACATTAAATCAAAGGGCAACCTGTTAGGCTGATGTAAATACACAATCACTAACGTTACCGTTAAGCAAACATTTGGAAAGGAGAACAGTGCATCTAGCTGTTGTTGCTCACCTCTGCAGTTTGCTGCTTGTCAGCAACTGAGCTCTGGAAAAGCTGCCGTTACGATGCAAAGTCCCATGTTCGCTGGATGTATAAATTGTATTTCCAGTACTTTAAGGACCGCCATAACCACATAATAATTTCCTAAGAAGTCGAGACTATGTTGTTGTCCTCAGAAGCCATAGTGTTGAGTTCAGAGCCTCACGTGACTCGCATCTCTGTGCGTGCGCTCCCAGACCGTGTGATTCTCAACCCTTAGAACTGTGTCATAATACAAGTCACCGCAATATTACAGAAAAAAATAAAATAAAAATGAAATGACCAGATATACACGGTTTAGTATTATAATTTTTTTTATAGCAATACAACATGTTTTTTTCTAAGAGAGGTTAAAGTTTTAGAGAGAAATTCTCAACTCAACTGATCTGCTTGCTAAAAAATCGTTTAACGTTAGTGCTGTACGTACTTGGTGTCGTGGGAACATATCTATACAATAATAGTTATTAAGGAGATAAATAAAAAAATATATTGTTAATTTTACATTTGAATAATCTTGGCTAGGCTGCATGGTCCATGACCCATACATTGAGAAGCAATGTTCTATGGCCATGTAGTAGATAGCTTAGGATTTTTGAACCCATAATTACATACTATGCAAATAAAATAATACTCTGGAATAATGAAAATGATAAATACTGCAATTATAATACAATAATACAACTAAAATCTCTCTCTAAATAGTATATGTGATTTATTATTCCTTATTTTCTTATTATTTCTGTCTTCGTGTAGCCTATTTGTATTAGTAAATATTTTTTGAGTCTGCATGCTCCTTATGTCCCTAAGTTCGTTGTTGTTGCTGTCATTGGCCCTGTCCAGACAAAATATTTAGCTCATTCAATTTCCATTTAGATCATCTTGATATTTATGCAGAGCTGTCAAAGTTAGAAAACAGTCAACTATAATGTAAAAACAAGCTCTTTTTGACACTGATGTAAAATTTGTGAGACATTACATTATTACCATCGAAATCATTCTTTGTGATCTTTATCTGACAGATAGTACAAATCAGTGTTTGTCATTTCTACTCACTGGTGCCCCCTAACGTTGCACGTGTTTCCCGCGGATTCACTGACAAGGCTTTAGTCCTCGACTAAAAAAAATGAAAAGATTTTAACTGAAAAAAAAACTTGGCATAGTGCCATTGTTTTGTGTCAAGATGCACACCAGTTGGCCTAATGTGTTTTTCTAAGGCATAGGGATACAAGCTAGCCTACTTGATTGAACTAAAGTGTGAGGCGAAGCGTTCAAAATGTACAGTGTTGGGCACACAAGAGCAGGAAAAACACTGGGATCGAGAAAATTGAAAGACATAGATAGGCCTAATTGTTAGTTGTATGTATCCACATTACAAACAGACACATTTTTCATTTAATGAGCAGCTAATGATAGATACACCATGCCTCTAGTCTAATCTAATGACTATAAAGCGATTTTGTGCTCAATCTCCCCGAATAAAGCTGCTGCCTATAGAAATCCACTAGAGGGCGTCATGCTATTGTTTCTTTTGTGGATCCATGTGTGGATCAAGACCTATGATTATGACTTATAACTAACAGTGAGCGGTTCTAATGTTCAAAGACAAAACTAAATGAAAAAATGACAAATTAAAATGTCTGTAGCCTCAGCAATCCTAATTTTCAGTTCACTGAAACTAGTTAAAATCTATGGAAATTGTGGAATGTCAAGCCAGTTTGTCACATGGGAAATTTGTCACAAACATTTTCTTTTTCCATAAGAATCCTGTCCTCCCACAGTCTACAATGTCATATTTTATAGATGTCATGTTCATAGCTGTCAGGAGCAATATTCACTCAATGTAAAAAGTGATCAGTTCACTTAACTTTAAAAAGTGAGGAAAACCATTGCTTTGAAATGATTAAGTAAAACTTAATGCATAATTGAAAAAAAAAAGTTATGTAGAATTGTCAAATTCACTTAACTTTTCAATTATGCATGAAGTTTATTTAATAATTTTAAGGCAATGTTTCCTCACTTTTTTAAGTTGACTCAACTAAGGTCACAGAACAAGGTGTCCCTTACTTCTTCGATTAAATTCATCAATGTACGTCCAGCTAAACATTTGACTAGTATACATGAAAACATTCCATCTAAAACAATGCAGCACATTTTTTATTATTATTATTATTATTATTGGGCCATTTGGCAAAGCTGTTATAATGTAGCCCAAACAGGCACAAGTCTGTAACTGTGTTAAATAGCATCCACTTTTCTTCTAAATCTCATCAGCCCAGAAATAGCAACTGATTCCCTAGTATCATCAAGTTCTATATAAAAAATATGGTGCTGGAGTCTGTAATAATAATTGCTTTTTCTCTCTCACTCTCCCTGTCCCTCACTCACTCCCTCTCTCTCTCTCTCTCTCTCTCTCTCTCTCTCTCTCTCTCTCTCTCTCTCTCTCTCTCTCTCTCTCTCTCTCTCTCTCTCTCTCTCTCTCTCTCTCTCTCTCTCCACCCCGTTGAGCAGGTTAAAAGGACAAGTCCAACCGTGTCAAACTTACTTTATATGTAAAATCAGTCTTTATTTTGAGATGTTCCCAACACTAAAATCCATATGGAACTTGAAGAATGGGATAGTTCTTTTCTTCACTCCTTTGATTCTTCTCCCACTTCCAGTAGTCATCAACACAAGGGTATGTAAATTAAAGCTTTTATCTGAATTGAACAAAATGTTGGCATCTTTTTACTTCAATGCTAAGAGACTTAGACTTATCGAATTACGTAAAGTGTAGATTTTGCATGCTTTTTGTCTGAGGTTATGCTTGTTAGTGTTTATGCACCTGTCAAATGCTTTAGTAACGTAAATGTACATGTAAATGTATTCTGTTTAGTACATATAGGACTACATTCATACCCTGAGGCCTCCATGTACAATAATTCATTGTGCCTCAAAACTGTTTTTTTAACCCTTTGTCATTGTGTATGTTCAAGCGTGGGAACACATAGTATAGTCTAAATTCCTGACTCTGAATCAATGTGTTTTGTGATCATGGCTGTCATGTCCACATGACACAAAGTTCGCTCCCACTGATAGTAAATTAAATGAGTATTCATGTCTCATCCTCTGCATTTCCAGGCCCATTGAAGCTTTTTAAAGATTTTTAACAAGATATTTAACATATTTGAAAAGGCAATACGACATCCAAAAGTCTGAGATCACATTGAAAATCTGGGATTCATCACTTAAAAAAAAAAAAAAAAAAAAAAAAAAATTTAACAAAGAAACATTTGATCACATTTGAAACAAAAAAACAAAGATCACATCACTATTTCTTGCTAATCAAATAAGTAAGCGCGTAATCTTCATCATTAGCACTTCTTTTTACAGATGATCAGAACAGATGTTAGAAGAACATTAGAATTATATGCTGGACAGCATGAGTGCTGCTGTCATTAAAGCGAAAGACGGACAAACCAAACGCTAAGACATTTTAAATTTAACTCAAACTTTTCAATCAGATTGATTTGTAAAATAATAAAATTATATAATAAAATAAAACAGTAAAATAGCATTATAGTTTTTATGCCTATCTAGTTTTTAAAGGGCATGTTTCCATCTTCCAGGAGGCCAGCTGTGCCTATGTAATCATTCTGATGGCAGTATACTGGTGTACTGAAGCTCTTCCTTTAGCTGTCACATCACTGCTACCTGCTGTTCTCTTTCCCATGCTCGGTATCATGCAGTCCAAAACGGTAAGTTGTTCCTGTCAAACGTGTGAATGAAAAGAATAGCCCGAAAGCACACATCAAACGCTAAAGCTTTTATGTTGTTCTCTAGGTGTGTATGCAGTACCTGAAGGACACTAACATGCTGTTTGTGGGTGGACTGATGGTTGCGGTGGCAGTTGAACACTGGAACCTGCACAAACGTATCGCCCTGAGAGTGCTGCTCATTGTTGGTGTGCGCCCAGCGCTGTAGGTTAAACCCTGTACCAGGCACAATAATTGGCAGATTGTTAAATCCAAGCTTTATTCATAGATTTCAGTGCTTCCTCTGTATTAATACAGCCTGATGCTGGGTTTCATGGGAGTGACAGCTTTCCTCTCCATGTGGATCAGTAACACGGCTACCACGGCCATGATGGTCCCTATAGTGCAGGCTGTGCTGGAACAGCTGAACAAACAGGAGACAGAACCTTCACAGATGACCTGTGGTGAGGAACGGCCCCAGGCCCCTGAGGCGGAGTACAAACAGACGGCAAAAGACAGAGACAAAGAAGGTCAGGCGAAGAATAAGATGTAGCGCATACACTACTGTTCAAAAGTTTGGGGTCATTAAGACTTTTGAAAGATATAAGTACTTTGGTAACACTTCAGTTTAGGGTCCAATTCTCACTATTAACATGCATTTGACTTGGTATTGTCTGTTTATTAGTACTTATTAAGCCCCTTTTAATGTTTACCCTAACCTTTACTAACTATTAATAAGTGATTAAGAGTTTGTTGAGGCAAAAGTCATAGTGAGGTAGTTGATAGTGAGAACTGGTGTGACCGTACTTTGATCAAAAGTGTCAGGAAAGTCATTATAGCTTAATGTTTTAAAGATTTCCATTTCAGATAAATGAGCTTAACATCAATGAATCCTGGGAGAAAAAAGAATCCACTAAAATCAACTGTTTTCAACATTTATAATAATAATAATTAAAACGTTTCTTGAGCACCAAATAATCATGTATTAGAATGATTTCTGAAGGATAATGTGACACTGAAGACTGGTGTAATCCTGAAAATCCAGATTTGCTGGATTTTCACATAGGATTTAATTAAACAGGATTTAATGACATTTTAAAGTACTTTAAAATAGAAACCACAGTTATTTAAAATTCTAATAATATTCCACAATATTACTACTTTTTCTGCATTTCTGATTCAATAATTGCAGACTTGAGCACAAGAGACTACTTTTAAAACATTACAAAGTCTTTCCAATCCAAAACTTTTGAATTCCAGAGAAAGATTATTATTGAATGAACTATCGCTTTTAAGTATATTCCCTATTTCTTAGTGGTGCTACGCATTCTGGATGTCTCAGCAGAGGCCAAGCTAAAGGAGTCTGCAGAAAAGAGGCGCATGGGTAAAGGCATGACTCTGTGTGTGTGCTATGCTGCCAGCATTGGGGGAACGGCCACACTCACAGGCACTGGACCTAACCTAGTATTTAAGGGTCAGATGAACCAGTGAGTATTAACCCTCTGATAAAAAAAAAAAAAAAAAACTTTACTACTAACATTCGTGTTTCAAGTAACTGAACCCATTGCTTTATTTTCCTCCAGATTATTTCCTGAGAATGGTGACATTATCAATTTCGCCTCATGGTTTGGGTTTGCGTTCCCTAACATGATCATCATGTTGACGATAGCTTGGCTCTATCTTCAGTTCGTTTTCATGGGATTCAAGTATGATATTTAATCACTTTGTTAGATTTCACCTTTGCTTTTAACATTCCTTTCATGAGGCTTTTTGTTCACATCTGCAGCATTAGGAAGACATGGGGATGTGGGGTGGTAAAGTCCGAAAAGGATATAGCCGCCTATAATGTGATCCGGGAGCAGCATCTTCTGCTGGGGCCGATGTGTTTTGGTGAACTCAGCGTTCTGGCTCTCTTCAGTTTGCTTGTGGCACTGTGGTTTAGTCGAGATCCTGGATTTGTGGCAGGCTGGGCAACACAGACCTTTAACACAGAAGCAGAGTATGATTTGGATCATTTATTTATGGCAAATTTGTAATTTCTTGAAGTCACTAACCATGTTTGATATCCATCTAAAATAAATGTAAATGATTTAAGCCATTTTTCACAGACTAAACTCAAAATAGATTATTTGATATTTATACAAAATTATATTATCTGGTATTAATAATATATTTAGGACATTTTGGAATAACAATATTACTTTGATGTTTAATATTCATTCAGATATGTGACAGATGCTACAGTTGCAGTCTTCGTTGCCATGTTGCTCTTTATTCTTCCATCAAAACCACCTCGGCTTTGCTTCTGGTCATCAACAGGCTCTGAAACAGGTAGTAATATTTTACACAACAAAAATGTCTAGACTGAAAACACCAGAGCCTATTAGAGCTACTGTATATGTCAGATGGCTGAGAGTTTGGATTCTGTTTGCTATGGACCACTATATATATATATATATATATTCATTCACAGATCCTCAGCTCTCTTCTGCACCCAGTACAGCCCTGCTGTCCTGGAAAATAGCTCAAAAGAAGTTACCCTGGAACATAGTTTTGCTTCTAGGTGGAGGATTTGCCCTGGCCAAAGGTAGTGAGGTGAGAGTGTTATGCAAATTTCTCCAAACCGTTGTCATGATACCGCAGCCATTTCGCTTGACCAACTTGATCCCTGCAATGCAAAATCTATGTAGGGAAATGTTTTGCCCTCACACAAATTCCTATTGAAATTACAATGATGGCGAACACAAATTTCACCAAGCAACGGTAAATGTGACCTTTAGGTCTCATATTGATATTGTGCATCACATGTCCAAAACCTCATAATTTACTACTAATAATAAAAACTTGACCATAATGATGAATTGATGTAATCATCATTATGATTAAAATAGTGAATAACTATCTCTTCTATCTCTTTTGTATCTCAGGAGTCAGGTCTATCCAGATGGATTGGAAACCAGTTGACTCCCCTACATAGTATCCCTCCCTGGGCCATTGTTATCATCCTGTGCCTCGTGATTGCCGTTTTCACTGAATGCACCAGCAATGTGGCCACAGCAACTCTTTTCCTCCCTGTTCTTGCTACTATGGTAAGAATTGAATGCAACACAGGAGCAAAATTGAAAGCCCTAGGGAGGTTTACTCATACTGATCAGGGAATAGGTGCTGGAAAAAGCCTAAAAGTATGCGTTCATGTACATGTACATGTATATTTATATTTATATGTGCCCAAAAGGCACAGGTGCTCAAATTCTTGAAATAGCATCATCAGCCATGAAGTTGTATTGCTCACCAGCTGTGCAATGCTTCAATAAAAGAAGCCGCTCTGTGCAGACATGACTCACAGTTTGCTCTAATCTCTAAGATTACAGCCCTATTACAGACACTTTATGACGAGCTTAGAAAACAGGCACTTAGATCAGAGACAAATGACTCAGCGCTATCCACAATTAAATCTAATTCAAACATTTCTGATTCTGTTTCACAGTCTCAATCTGTTGGAATCAACCCTCTTTACGTCATGGTGCCATGCACACTCAGCGCATCCTTCGCGTTCATGTTACCTGTGGCTACTCCTCCAAACGCTATAGTCTTTTCCTACGGATACCTCAAAGTTTCAGATATGGTGAGTTTCATGATATGTTTTCGCTTCGGACTCGGACCCAAGAGAATCTTTTCACTCCACAGCCATTTCTGACTCTCTTGATTACGCTAGAGCAGCGTTTGTGGATGACTGACATTCTCCTCGCAGGAACGTGCCCATCAAGTCAATACGGTCGAGACTCAATGATCTCGCTAGAGAGAGAGCCCCCTCATCCACACCCCAATCTAACACTCTCCACATGAGGTGCTACTTCGGCTGGTGGCCGAAGGGTGTGAGTGTGGAACAAACCGACGACTGTATGTCCGTGGACCACGCCCCTCTCTTCAGTGACGCAACCCGCGAGTATTCAGGGGATTCCCCCGGGTCTATTTTCGGATGCCCTGCGGGTTTCCCTTGATGCTCCAGAATCGGATCTGTTGTCCATTGCAGCATCACAGGGCGGGCTAGAATCTTCAGAAAGTGAAGATTCGACAGTGCTGTCACTTTCGGGTGTGCATATGGCATTTGTCGAGTCAGATCCTGAGATGACGGCCATGCTTTCCCAGGCTGCTGCAAGCATCGGACTAGAGTGGAACCTTTTACCCTGTCCTGGGCGCTCGTCAGCACTCCTGTCAGCGTCCACTCCAATATCTTTTTTCCCGGATGTGTATCAGGAGATCTCGATATCCTCGAAGACTCCCATGTCTTCCAGCAATTCCTCGTTGATCTCCTCCGCCCTTCTTTTCCTCGACGGGGCCGCTGCCCATGGGTACACTGGGGTCCCTCCGGTTGAACGCTCTGTCGCGATGCGCGACTGTGTTCTCAGAGTGCTTCTTCTCGGCGCGATCCTAAGCACCCGTCTGAAGCCTGTAGTTTTTCGTCTACACTTGTGGCAAAATTCTATAGCAATACAGGACAGGCAGCCGCTTCAATGCATGCGATGGCCATTCTGCTGGTCTACCAGACCCAGATGCTCACGGACATGCACAAGGGTGGGACTGACCCAGGGCTCTTCAATGAGCTGTGCGCCACCATTGACCTTGCTCTCTGAGTGACGAAAGGGGCCGTACGCTTCCTGGATCAGGTGATGCCTACCAATCTGTGGCTAAACCTGATGTGCAGGATGTCAGGCGGACCCTTCTGCTTGACACCCCCATATCCTTGGTCGGCCTCTTCGGAGGTGCAGTTAAGGGCTTTGTTCTCAACCGCCCACAAGCAGACTGAGGCTTATTCTGCCCCGGCGGCCGCGCCGTCCGTTCAGATACCTCAGTCCACCCACCGCCGAAGGCAGCCTCCTGCAGCTCCCACCCCGCCCGTTCACCCGGGCTGGCTCTGGAAGCAGCAGGGGAACGCCACAGCCCTCTCCAGCAACCTGGTTGGGGTGCCATGTTCAATGGATGTGCTGCCGCGGGCTCCTGGACAGGACCCCAGCGCCTATAGCACGTCAATACGTTGAAGTGGAACCTCTTCGTCAACTGGTGCTCTTCTCACCGAGAAGATCCCCGGAGATGTTTGATCAGTGTTGTGCTTTCCTTTCTTCAAGATGGGTTTGAGCAAAGGCTGTCTCCCTCAAAGTCTATGTTCCCAGTATTGTCACACACTATGACCCAGTCGAAGGTAAGTCTGTGGGGAAGCATGACCTGATCGTTAGGTTCCTGAGTGGAGCGAGGAGACTGAATCCTCCTTGCCCTTCTCTTGTTCCCTCTTTGGACCTCTCAGTGGTTCTAACTGCCCTGCAGAGTGCTCCCCTTAAACCTTTGCAATCAGTGGAGCTTAAGTTCCTGTCAATGAAGACAGTGCTCCTGGTTGCATTGGCCTCCATCAAGAGGGTGGAGGTGCCCAAGGTTTCTACCACTCCCTTCCAGGACCAGGTGGTGAACCTACAAGCGCTGCCCCTGGACGAGGCAGACCCAGCCTTGGCACTGCTTTGTCCAGTACGTGCTCTCCGCGCCTATACTGTAGACAGAACGCAGTGTTTCAGGACCTCAGACCAAGGGAAAGACTCTCTCCAAGCAAAGGCTGTCTCACAGGTTAGTGCAGTGTTTCCCAACCCTGTTCCTGGCGGCACACCAACACTGCGCTGTACCACGGGGATCGCCTGAGTTCAGTCTTGGCTCCTCAGCGAAGAAACATATCTGCATGTTGCCGGCATCCTCCTTCATACCCATGAGGTAAGGCAGAGATATGAAATGCAAATTCCGCAGATCCATGTCATTTCTTTGCCATTGACTTGTTTTGTATACTCGTCAATAAGTCAATAGGCTTTCTAAGCGAAACCCCATTCGTTGTCATCCGACGGAATGTCTCCGTTCCCTACTCAGGGTCGGGGTTACATCCGTAACCGAGACGTTATGTCTGTGAATGTAAAAACAGAGAATTGTTCAAACAAATGTGGCTCCATACATAGACAAACCATAAGTTGTTTTACCACTTCTAAAAGATGTGACTCACTCAGTGACATTTAACTTTTGTTTTTCTCAGGCAAAAACTGGCATGATGATGAATGTCATAGGGATTTTCTGTATCACCTTAGCCATCAACACCTGGGGAAAAGCTATGTTCAAGCTAGATTCTTTCCCTGCATGGGCCAACCAAACAGTAATATGATGGACAGTATGAGGCCGAATGAAAACCAGCAAGCTGCTAGTTTTCTTCCATTATTTTCATAAACTTCATGGATCCAGGCTGTAGTACAGAGAAACTGAAACCTGCCATGTCTTGCAGTACTATTTTGCACATTGATAACCTCTTTCACTTAAGGGTCTGACTAAATAAGCAGCCATATATGCTATGTTCAAATATTTGGGGTCAGTAAGATTTTTTGATTGTTTTTTTTTTTTTTTAGATGGGAAAGCCGAAATTTTAGCATGCAATACCAGTCTTTGTGTCGTTTTTATATAAAAGCATTATTTAAAAAAGAAAAACTGGCTCTTAGTGACCAGAAACTTTGAACAGTATGCAGGATCATCACATTTTGAGTAGACATAAATTAATCTAACAAAAATAAGAAAGCATTTTAAGCAGCAGGTTAGAAAAATTATTTTCAGAAGGCATCCTAATCTGTCAGAATCACAACTAGAGCAATCCTTTCCTCAACTTAATAAGGCAGCATTATTGACATTAACTCCAATTGTAATTGCCGTTTTGAAATTCTTATGACTGAGATATGAAAGCCTCATCCACAACTGCCTTAAATCTCAGGGCATTAAATAGAGAAACACATCGGGCAACTACATAAAATGAAACAAATACCTCATAGTTCATAACAGGTGTACTGAAACTTTTCAACATAGATAGATTTGGGCAATCAGATTATTAAAATATATCTATGTTGTTGTGTTTTAGCAGGTTTTACAGTATGTAAATATGCAACTTCAATACCATGTTTACATCTACGCTTCAAGTTTTTATAATTCCACTGAATCAACCAATCAGTGATTACTGTATAACATCAAAATGACTTGAATGTTCTTAAATGAAATACTGCACAATTGTAAAGCATTTGACATTGGTGTGAATGAGGGACAGTCTTCCAGAGTTTATTGCACCTATACTATATATTCCAGTGTGATGTGTGAGTTCATTGATTCATTGATTTTGTTTGATTGAATGCAATGCTTACTGAATACTTATTTTGGAATTTTGGATAAATTATTAGAATAAATAAATCTGTTTATGAATATAAAGCACTTAAAGTGCATGACTGTAAATGAAATACGCTCTCAAACTGCTGTTATGTTGTGTTAAAGAGATAAAACTGAATAAAACCGTATCTTTCCCTACAACAATGCACATTCTGTTCAATGTTGATTGTGGTTATGTTATGCTTCTGGTAACATGCCCAATGTTAAAAAACTGACACCCGCTGCTGTTTAATATACTTAAACATTGCACACCAAGAAAACACTAAAAGGACTTTATAGTCTTCACTTTCAAGTTTCATTAAGTTCAAAGTGATCCCGCCAGTACAAATTAAATGTGAAGCAAAACTATTTGGGGAAAAGTCATGGCACAGAAATAATGACAGCAATGACAATGTTCTATAAACATTGAGTCCTATAAAATAGCTCAGCTGACTCTCTCATCCAAGCACAACCAGATATGGTTCACTTAAAAATAAAGAGCCAGTCTGTAATATAGAAAGAAAGCTAACAGATTTTCTGCACAAATATATATATGAAGAGTTCAGATGCAAAAGCCTCTAAATGCCATTTGAAATTTTCTTCTTTAATGATGATTTTCATCAAACTTGTATATTTAAGTTCAGTAATTTCACTTAAATAACAATTAATAGGTAATTATCATTGCCATTTAAGTGAAATCACTGAACTTAAATATACAAGCTTGATAAAAATGATCATTCTAGAAAATTTCAAATGGCACTTAGAGGCTTTTGCATCTGAACTCTTCATATATATATATACAAAAAAAGGGGAAAAAAACGTGAGACTGACAATTCAATATATTTAGGTTTCTTCCAAGCAAAACTAATGTTAGCGTATATGATTTCGAATTGGTAACAATTAATGAATTAACAAATCAATAAGTAATTCTTCTAAGAACTTTTTCCGTAGGTTTAACCAAAAACGTACCTTGTTACACCGAGTTATTACTGACAGCCTAAAGAGAACGTTCACAGGACATAGTTATTTGTACATTCACAGAACTAAAAGTTGTTAGCTGGGCCAACCCTGAAAATGTGGAAAAATTCTGGTCTCAAGCAGGAACATGATGTATCCCTAATATCAACAGAAAGCAGGGGGTTCCACACAAAAATAGTGAAAAGCGGTTAAAACAGTGATGACTTTAAAAGTCAATGTTTGGTTGTGACTGTAACTCTCAATGACAATCTGGTCAAGTTAAATCCTAAGGGGCAGACAGTGCTGCACCACTGCAAATCCACCTGATGATTTCACAAACCATCCTTGGCTAGAAGCACTGGATTAATGATAGCCCATGGTCTTGTGGAGACAAAAGACTAGACTTCACAACCATGTGTTTATAGTGTCATGCACAGTGCATAATAATCCTCAATTGCTGAGGTATGACCAGGTTGAAACCTCATGATAATTTCTTGCAATTGCTGCAATAACATGAATGTTGCAATTTTGGTCAGGTTTAGATTATATGCATGCGGCCAAATGGGCTGCAGAATGAAAGAAGTGTGCCAAACAAAGAAATCCTTTTTAAAAATAGCAGTCACATAACACACAAAACTCTTTGGCATAAAACAAAACGAGCAAATTGAATTACAGAAAGTGATTCTCAAAAAAGGTCTGCCTTTCACCACAGAATGCATTTTTTTTCTATTTAAGAAATTTAATTGTTACAGGCCTAACAAGTAAGCAGCTAACAAGTGGTTGGGTGTGCTGTGACACTGTGATCACTGTGATCTTAGATCTTTGAGGGAAGGAACAGATATAATTACAGTGCCCTTTTCTGCTTTTTGGCATCTCCAACACCCACTCATTATCCAACTGAACCAAAAGCGCATATGCCTCAGCCTCCAATTTGGCTGTATTATACATATAAGAACCCCGCAAAAAACAGTAAAGCATAAGTTCATTTTTGCTTGACTTTTTGTTGAACTAGTGAACGTGGTTAACTCTTTACTTTCTGGTAAGTATATGTTGGATAAAAAGGCCAATTCATTTACTAGTAGCCTGTATTAGTGACACAAAAGAAGTATGCTACTTTGGGAGAGAGCGGGGAGAGTTTTGTCAAAGGTTTTGTAGGTTAAAAGCTCTCCAATTAAAAGATTAAAATATTATATTATTAGGCTATATAAATTATCATCGTTAAACTGTCTCTGTGCTTTCATCTAGTTAATTGTTGCGTAATTGTTTTATAGCTTAAATATGCTTATAGAGATCTACTCCCTGAGAAATATTCATTGGAATAAAAAGTGTATCCAAGACGACATTTTAATTTTAGGACAAATAGCTCCACCAAAAGGCGACACAAGTAGTGCACAAACGATCTGTTTCACTAAACATAGCAACCAATTAGAACATCAAATGTCAGTTTTATGAGGATACCGTTAAAAAGTTCATGTTTTTTCCCCCAATACTTTTATGAAAGGTACAGCAAGAAGTTGTGGACTCTCCCATAATAGAGCAGTCTCTTCCAGTAGCGGCTAGCCTATCCAACTGTGACAGCGCGCTGGCTTCTGTATTATGTAGGAAATTCCGAGGGTCACATTTGCTATTATACTGCAAACTATTAATGAAGTACACAAGACGTGTGGATGTTCTCTTTCTCACTACGATTTTAAAGTGGCAAAGTGCTGTTATAGCCTATATATCTATTTACTGCTGCTGTTTTTTCATTATTACTGTGCGTGTTGAAATGAGCAAAATAAGAGATTCCTATCATTAAAAATGTACACTTATTTTTTTTTCCCACTTCAGGCCTTACGAAACGCATAAATTTGGACGATAAACAAATATTAGAGTTTGAAAACTCATTTCCTCTCGACAGTGCAAAGTCTTTGTCCAAAATTAATCCGAAATATTCATATTTCAAGATCGATCGATCCGCCCAACTCACGTGAGCTGGATTGGACTACGATCTGTGACTCATTTATGACCAGGAATGAAAAGTGCGGTTGAACTTAATATTCAGCATACAGATAGGCTAAAAGGGGAGCAATCATCTTAACCAACGGCTATAATTTTTCACGGCTCGTGTTTCAGGTTTATGTGAATCATCCATCAAGCTATTTTTCAAGATGAATGAAGCAGAAAATACACCCACATGTCAAGGATACTCAAGATGTTTTCTAAGTTTTTTACCTGTGGACTTCACAAGAGAAATAGTAAACTTGTGCTATATAGCTCTTCCCGTGGTAAGCCTGTAAAGTATTTTATTTTAACTCTAAATTGCGTTTAACGTCATGGTTTAATCGATTAACTGATTAATATTAGCATTATTTTATCAGTATTCTTTATTAGTTTAACCACTAGCCTTTTATTTTGTACAGTACATCAATTTGACGTCCAAGGTGAAGTGACGTAATTTCTGACCCCAGTGGAAGCAAACGAAATTACAGCGGTTATGTAAACCGCACTTTATTTCTCCTCCCCAAAAAATAGCTAAATAAATAAATAGAAAACCTGCTTTTTTGAAAACCCAAAAGACCCTAAAAACCCTAAATTTCCTGGTTTGGCCCACAAATTGACATCACTTCAAAGCAAAGCCAACAGAAGAAGTGTAATCATCATTTTTGAGAGAGTTATATAAATCATTATATATAATTATCATTCTTTTGAGTTTGGCTAAGATCACAGAAATTACACACTTCACCTTTATTAAAAGCCGTGTTACCCATTAGACTCTCTCTGTGCTTTCTTCTCAGTTTTTGTCTTATCTTTTCGACTATTTAATCATTCTTGTAAGCACTGTGTTTTGTGGACACTTGGGAAAGATAGAGCTTGATGGTGTGACGCTTGCCATAGCTGTGAGTTTTAAATATTTATCTCCTTTTCAAATGTGTAATGTCATTTAAATATAGGTTATTTTAGCCTAGAGAGTAATAATACATTTTACCATGTCCTCACCAGGCTATCAGTGTTATGGGTATTGGTATTGGCTATGGCTTGTCTGCAGCATGCGACACGCTTATTTCTCAGGTAGAGGCTGCCATGCATTACTCCGTTCATTCACACACAAACAAGTACAACTTTATATGTCTCACACTCTTGCTCTATCTTTGCAGGCTTATGGAGCTGGTAACTTTCATCAAGTTGGTGTTATAACTCAGAGAGCAATTTTAATTCTGTTACTCGCATGTTTTCCATGCTGCGCCTTTCTTATCAATACAGAGTCAATATTGCTGGTTGTGGGACAAAGCCCAGAGGTTGCCAGGTGAGAACCACTATTCAGACTGGCGTTATCAAACAGGGACTAGGGGCAAAAATGCAGACCGTCACACACTACAATAGTCCATGCAATGCTAGTAATAGTTTTATGGAACATATTTGGGTACTTCACTGGACTTAGTTATCAAAGAAAGAACAGGCTAAAACATAATTATCATTAACCTTATTCTGTTTCAGAGTATCTCAGCAGTATGTGAACATTTTTTTGCCAGGTCTTCCGGTATGTTTTTCATATACACATTATCTGAAAAGTAACACACTTATTTAGTCACATCTCAAATCTACTGAATGCCTAAAAGGATTTTGCACCACTTATGGTCTAATGGTTGTTATTTCATAAACTCTGTGACTCAGTGTAGTAAAATAATACCTTATTTTTTATCTCATAGGCTGCATTTATGTTCATTATTGAAGCGAAATATCTACAGAATCAGGTAGGAGAAAAATATGAAAATGAACGGTTCCTAGAAAGCATGAATGTGAAACTTAATGAAATCTCTCATTTTAGGGAATAATTTGGCCTCTGGTCATAACTGGAATACTGGCAAATGTCCTAAATGTTTTAATCAACTATATCCTCCTCTTTGTTCTGGACATGGGTGTTCCGTGAGTTTCCATAACATTTGCTCTTAAACTACAGGACAGAAAGGAACATAGAAATCAAAGACATGATAGCTTACTGACCGTGTGTATTTCAACTTCAGAGGATCAGCAGCTGCTAATACCATCTCTCAGTACAGTTTGGCGATCATATTGTTAAGCATCCGATGCAAAGATCTTCATAAGGACACTTGGGCTGGTCAGTTCAAAATCTGTATATATTATTATGTGCATGTGAAAGCCAATGAAAGTTGACGGATATAATTTCTTTGTGGCCGTATAGGTTGGTCGATAGACAGTTTGCAGGAGTGGGGCTCATTCATTCATCTGGCCATTCCAAGTATGCTCATGTTGTGTGCAGAGTGGTGGACGTACGAGATTGGAGGGCTGTTGTCAGGTTAGAGCGCATGCTTCTCAAACATTTACAGGTACAGCAAATAATATTTTTAAGAACATGTCTAGTCATTTAAGTATTATTAGAGTTGATATAAGAGTTCAATAGGCCACAACCCACAGGATGGTGAATTGGAATTATAGAAAGAAGAATGAACTATAATCTTTGGCTATTTGAACGTAGCCTAGTGTAAATAGTAGTTAGATGCTATTTGCATAAATTTTATTGTAGTAGATTATAAAACAGTATACTGTAATAACAACATATTCAGTGTATATGATTACTGAAAAATACTTCAAAACAACTGCAAAACGGTCTTTAACCAAGATAAAGTTTGGTTTTGAAAGGCTTTAAGGATACAGTTCTGGAAAATCAATTCCACTTTGTTATATTCTAAATTAAATTACAATTCTGCATTGCTTCTCAATTCAAATTCAGGAAATGATTTGAAATTTAAAAGGGGGTTTCAATCCAGTTCTGAATTTCACAGAACCCTGTTCCTGACCTTTGATTTATTTATTTATTTATTTTTATGGCAGGTCTGATAAGTGAAGTGGAGCTTGGAGCTCAGTCAGTTCTGTATGGACTGGCAAATATTGCTTACATGGTATATTTTCATTCGTGTGAAAGTGTTTTATTTCAAGTATGTGTGAACACTATAAGTGAGTGGCCTGTGTTCAGTTCCCTATAGGTTTCAGTGTGGCTGGCAGTGTGAGAGTGGGGAATGCCGTGGGAGCAGGAGATGTTGCTCAAGCCAAGCTCTCTGCTAGACTCTCTATAATTTGTGCAGGTAATTCTAAGGAACAAATGACCTGCTGTATTGGATATGTTCTTTGCAAATAGGTTGCTTATCCATTTTTCATATTATTTATTATCCATTTATTCTTATTCTTAAGAAATATGTGTAAATTATGATTTTGTATTTTATTTACAGTTTCTGTTGCAGTGGTTTTGGCAACTGTCGTTGGTTCCTCAAAGAATGTAATTGCTTATATCTTCACAAATGACAAGTGAGAGTTCTTCCTTTAGTTAAAAAACATTTCAGTCATGATAACATTTTAGTCTCAGAGTGGATTATTTCAACCAGCATTTACTGGCATGGGGCATGAGCTTAATTTTGGCGGAAGAGATCTGCTACACTACTGCTGCACAAATGCAAGAATCAGCTTAGTCAAAAGGACAGACTGCTGCAAGAAAATGGTAGAACCACTTTAACCACTTTAGGTGATGCTGGGGAGGAGGAGGCATAGACAGTAGTTTTCATAATCATGCAGGAGGGCAATCGCAGTCTAAGGTATGAGACATATGGTTACATGGATTAGGAAGTACTTCTGATTGGCTGATGCCACTGCATTGGAAGAACCAATCAGCGCTAGGTTAGAGTTTCATGCCCGAACTATGTGTTTGCAACTTTTCCCGTAATTATCTTCTGTGTAATTTTCTCCTGGAGAAAATTGGAAAAATCTCTTAAATTGGAACTCCAGAATGAACTTTGCTCAGGTGATGCTTTATTAACTTTATATTTTTATATATTTAAGTAGTTTTAGATGAACATTTTTCCAGATACAAAAACAAGTTATGTATGCAGTATACAAGGGATTTAAAATATACATTTTATAATTAAAAGGTTTCTTTTTAAATAATTTTATATATTTTTTAATAATAATTAGTTTTCTTTATAATAATTCTAGATTTTACATCTGGAAATAACAACTTTAACCTGTGTTTAAAAATAACATACAAAGCCCCAAACTCATACAATAGCTATGTTTCTTGAAAAAAGCATTTTGACCAAAATAATAAATGTCCTTCTTCTCACAGAGACATCAGAGCAAGGGTTGCCACGGTAATGGTTTTATACGCTCCTTTCCATCTACTTGATGCCACAGCGGTAAGTCATTAGCCGAGTTGTGTTAGAGCATTCACAGCCCTCATTAGTGTTAATAACAAAACTGACAACAACACAATGATTATGAAAGTTGAGTTCAAACCTTAATTGCATTGGATGTTGTCCTTCATGCATAAATAAATCGGAGGCTGCACTGGAATGGGTCATCTGGGGAGATGATGTTAATTATTGTTTCTTCCTTTAATCCAATCAGGCAGCAGGTGGCAGTATAGTGAAAGGCCTGGGAAAACAGAAAATGGGGGCAATCTGCAACCTTGTAGGATATTATGGTGTTGGCTGTCCAATTGGAATATCCTTGATGTTTGCTGCTAAAATGGGAATTTTTGGTGAGATATGTGATAATACATTTTCTAATTTTCTATTATATATATACTGTATATTGTGTATATGTATATATATAAATATGTATATATTTATATAAAAACATATATATATATATATATATATATATACAATTTATATTACATATAATATAAACATATAAATATAAATAAAAATAAATTGTATTTAAAATGTTAAACATTTTTATATTTAACAATCTATGTAATTTGTTTTCACTGTCTTACATTTTATGTAAATCATTCATTTATACAGTTACACATGAGATAAGAGAAATATTAATTATAATATATATTATAATTAATATTTCTCTTATCTCATATGTGGGGGAAATATATTATTTCTATATCTATATCATGCATTTTTTGTAAATCATTGCTTTAATCTCCTCAAGGTCTGTGGACTGGCCTGTTGATTTCAGTCTTCCTTCAGTCAGTGTTCCTTATTGTCCTTCTTTTCAAACTGAACTGGAAAAAAGTAACTGAAGAGGTGATATCGGATTTCATTTTATTAAAAGCTTTATACCTTTAAACTGCTTTAGTTCTTTTACAGTGCATTTGAGCTTGATCTAAATATGAACTTTTCAGGCACAGATCAGGGCTGGTGTACTGCCAAGAAGGACGGATGATGGTACTATGTTTGTTTAGATGCTAATAATTAAAAAGTCTGATTATATATAATGAGGCATGCAAATAAGAGTCATTTTCTTGACAGGTGCACAAGAGGATGGCAGACATATTGAGGACTGTGCTGTGAATAATGCTACCGATGTGGATGGGCTACTGGATGATCAGACCGATGTGATAGTCGCTACAGTGAGGACGCAGCTGCCACTGAGGGTGTTAGTGCTGCGCCGTGGCCTGGCTCTGGTAGCTATGCTTTTGCTCCTCGCTGCTGGATTCACTGTTAAATTCTTTCTTAACAGATGACAGCCTAATAACAGTCGAAGGACTGGTATTGGGGAAATGTCTTAAAGCAGACAGACAGACAGTCCACCCACATTATGGATGGTAGGGCGCCACCCAAAAAGGTGCGCACCTGTGCAACATGTCCACTTTGTATCTGAAAAGCAGGTACAAAGCGGGGCACCTTTCCGGGATTTCAGATGGTGTCCATGCATTGTTTACAAGTACCAGTGCATTATTTTATTTTTACATCACATGGGGTGAATCATTTTGTACTTGCTCATATTGTGTTAATGTTTATATTTATTTCTATAAATATATTTTATTAATCTGACTCTGTGAAACAAAAACAACCTGTACAATCTCAAGTCCTACAATAACGCTATTACCACTTGCTCTCGCATCTTTATCATTAAATTAATTTATGTTTAAAAGAGCAAATGTGTTGCAGCAAACACAAATGTGAAGAATGGAAAGATGTGGAAAAATATACTTTATGCACGCTTATGCAAAAATATACACACACATTGGTTGTCATTAAAGTCAACATGCGAGGCGAGAGAGCGAGACAATAATTCCTTTCCTCTAGCAGCCTGTCACTCACATGGGATTGCAGCAATTAGTAAACAGCAGTGATCCAATTAATTATCAATAGACAAAATCAAGCCCCGTACCAAATGTACCTCATTCGAAAAGTCATTTCACTATATGCCACAATAAAGAATCAAAATTTCAGTTTTATGCTAACTATAATTGCTGAGACCATACCACATTGCTAAGATTTTTACATAGACTTTGTTCGATCAACACACAAGGATCAAGGGATGAGAATTTTGTTAGAAAACGTATTTTTCGTTTTCATTTGACCTGGCTCTAAATATAGCTCTGATGAAAAACCAGTGTTCGATTTTGCTGTATTTGTCGCCAATTTATTAGATCTCTCTTATCCATAAAATAAGTAAGCATGACCAGAGTTCTTGTGAGAAGAATTTATTGAAGGTAGTACTGTAGTTCTTCAGTAGCGATGTTAACATGTCAATCAAAGAATCTAAACCCTTCTAAGAATCTTAACTTCTCCCAAAGTTCTGTCTGTGGGACAGGACTTTATACCTGAAGACAAAAGGGCTACTAACAATAAATACTGTTAGGACTTCTGACTGAAGATGCAATCTACAATAAATTCCTGAGGAATGCTGTTCTTTGGTTATTCTAACTGTATGAACCACTTGGTTCACACCTTTACAGACACAGTTTCAGTGAAATTGCATCTGAGACACAGTCACAATGTAAATGACTAAAGATCTGACTAAAGATCACTGAAATACATGAAAACTGCTCTGAATCAAATGTGCAGTTTTACAGCGGTTTTAAATTACAGACTAAGTTAATTATAGATTATCTTTTTACAAAAAACAATTTTAAAGATGGGGTGAGTACTAAAGACCGCCCACAACAGGGCATAAATAATGTGCTTAACCAGCAATATTATTATAATATGTTAATCCTGATGCAACAAACACAATGACAGGAAAGCTCTGGATGGACATATCAGCATGGATATATTTGAATATGTGTAAGCTTAGACAAGAGGCAACATTTGGATCCAGAAAATTAAAGATAAAAGTAGATTAAAAATAGTATATATAAATGGGCCATCCTGTTTATGTGCACACAAAGGCACTTTAATTTAAGATATATAGTCATATGTCAATAGAAGAAAGCTTACAATCTTGATTGATAGCCTTAATAGAAAATAAAAAGATATAAAGTATAATGGATGTATAATGGATGTCCAACCATAGATGACCTTAACCAGATGGAGCTAGTACATTTGATGGTTCACCAGTTGTCTGTGGATATTTACTGTAACCTTTAAAAACTCATATGTATGAAAGCTTGTTTCCGCCACTAAATAAAAAAAAAATTAAATAAAAATAATTGAAACTTTTATCTCACAATTGTGAGATATGAAGTCGCAATTCTGAGAAATAAAGTCGCAATTACAAGATATGTTAAAATAAAACTTTTTATAAACATCAAGCATAGTGTCAGTTCTGGCAGGTCAGGTTAGTGAAACTAGCATCAGCTGACTCTCAGCTGATTCACGTCTACCTATAGGAATACGACGCCTATCACTGTATACATATATAAGCTCCTTGAGTATTATCAGCAGCTATCGCGTTTCTCAGGAGCTAATTACCCTCCTCCATCCCCAGCTCCTCCTCTCGTCATTCAGGATTTGCCATTCAGATTCCCCTTGAATCAGAAAAAAATTCTCAAATCATGTTGTACTATAAAATCTTGAATTAATGATATCTGCAATATATTCATGTTGGTTCGCCATGTTTAATAATACTGCTTTCTGTATGTGACAGCGTGGCTTTGTAGAATATCTTCTTTTTAGCAGTATTTCTCCAGCAGACGCCTGACTACAAATGTCAACTGAAGAGATTATATGACTGTGTCACTGGGGAACAGACCTTTTTTCTGCTAAGCTGGTCGATTTTCTCACCATTCGGCCTAATGATGTGGACAAAGCAAATGCACTGAGGATAAAATACATGATCATCTGTCTAGGTCACAATATAGAGGCTGAGACGACTGTAAAAATGTGTCTATTTTTCTAATTCAATAAAAAATGTTGTTGCTTCTCACAGCATACAGATACATACAGATAATGTTCACACACATTGAATCTACCTACTGTAAGGTCCTATTTTCATACAATACTTGTTGAATAAATAGGAGCGGCTGTGGTAAAGTTTGAGAGCAAAGTAAAATTTGCACCGGCACCATAAGACACCTCAGGTAAAGGCACAATGAGATGGATGGCTATCCCTACAGCTAGGATGAGAAGAGCAGCGAGGGTAGTCAGACCCCTCCTGAGGATCAGCTGAGAGGTAGAGAGCAGAGCTTTGGGCTTTTCCTCCACGCGAGTCACGTTTGGCTCCTCATGTACCACAGTACTGTTGAGCCCCTCCTCCTGATCGTGAGAGCTCACAACCATGTATCCATTCCCATTCTGATACAGTGAGACACAATTTCACTATTATAAAGGTTTTAACTGTGCCATGGGTGACACATTTTTAAAAAGGATTTCTTAAAGGGATAGTTCACATTGAAATTAATTTTTGGTATGTTTCAGTTTACCTCAAGGGCATCCAAGATGTAGGTGTCCTTGTTTCGACAGTAGTTTCAATTTTGATATTTTTAGGTCAAACCGTTCTTGCCTGTCAGTCATACAATGCAGGTCTATGGTCACCACCTCAAAGAGCATGCACAGAGTAGTCCAAATTAAACATGATTTAATGACTCGTAAATGTAAGTATACATATTGATGGCCTAAGACACAAAACAAGTGGTTTGGGTAAATATGTTTAGATCTTCACTGTGAAGGGTAAGACTTCTGAAATCTCTGTGTAAACAATGAGTGAAATACACACGCGAGAGATCACTTTCCGGCGCTTGTGTAGACCTAAGCGCCCAAGGCCTCAGATCACTTGGACGTTGCTGTGGTTACAAGAGGAAAAACCGCTAAAATATAGTGTTCGTTTTCTCATACAAACCGCTCGTTTCGTGTCTTAGGCCATCAATGTGTACTTACATTTACGAGTCATTAAATCATGTTTAATTTTGACTTCTCTGTGCATGCTCTTTAAGGTGGTGACCATAGACCTGCATTATATGACTGACAGACAAGAACGGTTTGACCAAAAAATATCAAAATTGAAACTACTGCGGAAACAAAGACACCTACCTGTACATCTTGGATGCCCTTGAGGTAAGCTAAAACATACCAAAAATTATAGTTCAGCCAAAAATAATTTTACTCACCCTCATGTCATTCAAAACCTGTATGACTTTATGAAAATGGTTTCAGTGTTTTTTGTCGATACAATCAAAATGAATGAGGTCCAATTATGTTTTGGACCCCATTGACATTCATTATCTGGACAAAAAACTGTTGCACCTTCACTTGTGTTTCACAGAAGAAGTAAAATCATTGTTATCATAAAAACAACATGAGGATGATAAAATGACAAATTAAATTTTTGGTGAACTATTCCTTTAAAAATACATTAAAGAATTATCTGACTGCATTCATTTTAGCATGTTATTTTTTGAATTAATTGTGGTAAAATAATGCATACTTTTTATCAATAGATTTTACTGATAAAACAACAACATACCTCTGTATTCAGGACCACCTGGTAGAAGCTGTTGCGATGATTTGAATCAAACTCAGGGGTCACTCCTCCATTTGCACTCTTTCCTGTACGCTCAATTGCCTTGCAAAGAGAAAAAGTTACAGAACTCAACTATAATCACATGATCATGAGCAGTATAATTAGAAGAAAGGTCCAGTTTTAATAGGTATAACATGCCTACCTCTTTGGTCATTTTCTTCCAGTCTAATTTGAAAATGGCCACAACAAAAAAAATTGCAAGCAAAAAGACTGCAATAAGGAGGCCCAGCCAAAAGCCTGAAAGAGCGGGAGAGAAATCATTGTATATATTAAAAGGTTCCCTGATCATTTGTGTACTTAAACATCAATAATTGTGACAGGAGTCAATATCATGCATTTAGTTGTAACAAGGCGAACCAGCAACTTGTAACTTGGCCGTGAACATCAGAACAATGCACGATGGGAGTCCAATGCAGTAGTAGCCAAAGAGGTTAGCAATAGCAGCTATCTTCTGCTGCCCGGTGCCAATGAGAATGCCCATGCCAACACACTGAAAACAATGATGAAATAAATAAAATATAAATACTTCAAAATACTCAACTTGATTTAAAACAATGCATTTGACAAGATAGCTAGCCTATATATAAAATATAAATACACATAATTATATATATATATATATATAAGATATATATATAAGATAAACATGACTGATATGGTGAATGTAAACATGGTTTGTGCAACATTAGCAACACATTATTAGCTGTTTGATAATGTAAATGCTAATCATATTAATTACCAATATGTGTCCGACATTGTAAAGAGCGTTAACATGCAGCGTTTACTACAGTAACTTGACTGAGTGGATCTCTATCCGCATACTAAATGAAGCAAGGGTGTAGAGTTAAATTCAAGCTATTTTAAGGCTTTTTTTTCACATGAAAAACATTTATTAAAAAATTATTAAAAGGGATAAAATTATTGACTACAGGGGGACTTTAAATCATCAATATAATCTGATTATTATCGTTAACTTTTTTTGTTTCTTCGAAGCAAAACAAACTTTAACTAAACTAAACTAAAATATTTTAAAAATTCAACTATTTTACCTTTGCATTAAGGGCAACATTTCTCATTTTTGTTTAGTACAAAAATGGCTAAAATTCTAATTTCATAAATAAACATGATTTAATAACGTTAAATAAACAGTCTCTGGGAAAATTGAGGAATAAAAGTTTGTGCAGAACTCACCACTACTCCATTAAAGAACTGAAGAGGGCAGTAGATGTTAAGTAGCTGAGACACAAGCTCTGCTATAGTCCTAAACAAACATCACAATGGAAAACACAGCTGTTGTTGACATTATTTCTGTTAAATCTTAATTTTTAATGTTTAGACAAGAGCGTTTACAGATTTGTTCAAGTGTACTCATGACAACAAACATTTTGTTTTACATGCTTGAAATAATAAGGAAAGCGGCTTACTCATCTGAAGTGAATATGAAGCCAATGACCGTTTTTGTTGAGCCCAGGACTAAACCTTGAATGATTGCTATAACAGCTGGGGAAAAAAATTAACATTTACAAGACATCAATTGGTGCTTCATATGACTAAGTGTCATGAAAAATTTAGGAATGATTGATATCAAATTAAATGAGTTTTACCTGAGCTGATGAGAGAAACCTTGCAGGTGACAATGGCAGCAGCTGTTTCCCCAGCGCCAAGTGCATTTCCCACACGAACACATGCTGCTCCTTGCATTCCTAATGGGATCTGGAATATCAAGATGGATATGATAAAAACCACACAATCATGAAAAGGATAAAGGTCAATTTTATATGATAATATGAATATTCTCAGATAATCCAAACACACCATGAAGTTGATGTACGCCAGCATTATAACCACGTGTTGAGCAGCCAGGTCAACCTCACTCAGCATTCCTGATGGGATGAGAAGAGTCAGTGGGAATGGGATAATTCAGTGGAAAAGCAATAGTAAAATCAAACTGGTTAAATATACAAACAAACATTTATTTTCTGTTCTGTGAGTGTAACTGTGATGATTTTTGCATCATCGAGATTTTAGTAATTTTGTTGTTTTTGTCATTTTTTTTAGTACATCTAGTTAAACTAAATACACTGAGCGCAACACTTTTGTTTTTGCTCCCATTTTTCATGAGCTGAACTCAAAGATCTAAGACTTTTGTACACAAAAGACCTATTTCTCTCAAATACTGGTCACAAATCTGTCTAAATCAGTGTTAGTGAGCACTTCTCCTTTGCTGAGATTATCCATCCACCTCTCAGGTGTGGCATATTAAGATGCTGATTAGACAGCATTATTTATTCCACAGGTGTGCCTTAGGCTGGCCATTCTAAAAGTCTAATGGAATTTTTTTTACTGTATTGGGGGGTCCAAAAACCAGTCAGCATCTGGTGTGACCACCCTTTGCCTCACGCATCTCCTTCGCATAGAGTTGATCAGGTTGTTGATTGTGGCCTGTGGGATGTTGGTCCACTCCTCTCCAATGGCTGTGCGAAGTTGTTGTATATTAGCAGGAACTGGAACACGCTGTCATATACATCGATCCAGAGCATCCCAAACATGCTCAATGGGTGACACATCAGGTGAGTATGCTGGCCATGAAAGAACTGGGATGTTTTCAGCTTCCAGGAATTGTGAATAAATTCATGGTCAACAGCTCTGGTGGATATTCTTGCCGTCAGCATGCCAATTGCACACTCCCTCACAACAATGACATCTGAGGCATTGAGCTGTATGATAAAACTTCACATTTTATAGTGGCTAGCCTAAGGCACACCTGTGCAATAATCATACTGTCTAATCAGCATCTTGATATGCAACACCTGAAAGGTGGATGGATTATCTCGGCAAAGGAGAAGTGCTCTCTAACATAGATTTAGACAGACATGTGAACAATATTTCAGAGAAATAGGCCTTTTGTGTAAATAGAAAAAGTCTTAGATCTTTGAGATGAAAAATGGGGGCAAAAACAAAAGTGTTGCATTTATAATTTTGTTCAGTGTAAGAAAGAAATGTTGCCTTGATAACTTGCAGAAGTAAAATAAAAATGATTTATTTATTTCAGCTAAGTTATATTGCATTTTGAGCAACAAAGTTATGGTTTAGTTAACTAAAAAAAAAAACTTGAATGTACCTGCCAGGAAGCCTCCAACTTCATAGATCCACCATTCAAAACAGGTCATCAGGGTACTGGGGATGGCCAGCTTCATATAGGAACCCCATTCCTGCAGGGCCTCAGAAGACCACCCTGTTGGACGAAAACAGTAAGGCCCTGTTACACCTGGTATTTACGTTTTGGTCGATTGGATCTAGACGAGGGACACACATTCCCGTTTACATCTGGTGCTTTAAAACTTCTCTTTTGTACAATTTCAAGCACGTCTGCGCTGATTTCTTCGAGGGGAGGGTCTTTGCACAGATAAATACATAGGTTTTTTCAGATCTTTCGATCTAATGGATAAAATAACGTCACGCAATTTACGGTAGCAATTTTCCCCATGTACATACTACAGTAATTGCAATAACTGGGTAAACTAGATAACGCTAACCCTATAATCCTATAACCTTAACTCATGTAGTTACCTTATATTACCCAGTACTTTCTTAGGTGAGTACACTGTAAAATAAAGTGCCACCCAATTTACATACGAACGCACACAGAGACGACGACAAAACATATGGAGAAAGGCAGTTCTTGTTTCTGCACTGACAGCTGTAAGATCACGCCGAACGCTCTGAGTGCTGTTAAAAACCAGGAATGGTGGAGAATATTGTGCTTGGTATGCTTTATTGTCTTTAAACCAAACTTGGGTCTTCAGCCAACAAAGTCTAAATCCTATCTGACTAGTGCGCTTCCCATAATGTTTACACATTAAGTCAGTAGGTGGCCTTTTGTGGTTGTTTGAACACATTCTACCACATGAGTGTCTACACCACGAAAGCAATCAGGTCAAATGTATTTTCGACTTCCTCTGGAAGTGATCAAAAGTTGATTAGCTGAAAACGTTTTAGAGCCCATTTAAACCTGTATTTAGTGTAGTTCACATGTAAATAATTCACACTTCTTACGCACATGACAAATAGCACTGATGCACCGATTCCATTAAAATTAACCGGACTTGTCAGGCAAATGAACAGATAGCCTAAAAAACTATTTGTGACCATCACCATGGATTCGAGTATTATAGGCTTTTTTAACAGAATAATTTTGCTGCTTATTGCTACGTTTTACTCTATATACTAAGGATGCACTGATATAAAAAAATTGATAATAACCGATAATTCTTTATATTTGATAACTGATAACTGAAATTTTGGCCGATAATATAATTTTTAAGAGCCTGATGGCAGAAAAAGTCTCATCAATAAAAGCCATATCCCAAGCACACAATTATAATTATAACACACTTATTATAATTAGATGTAGTATGACAGATGCTGTACCCTGTATATGTTGCTGTCAACTGTATTTTCTTTTTTCAAAACCATCATGGTGAACACTGTGCATCTGAAGTGTCTCAGCTGAAAGAAATAATCCACTATGTGCTTTAATATATTGATCAACTTTTTTTACCGATAATGATAACATTAAAAATAAACATATCTTGGACTATACCGATATAGTGGCCGATATATTGTGCGTCTCTACTATATACTCTTATTTAATTCATGACATTGTCTGTTTATTGTTTTGTGTAAATGTATCAAGTTTGAAGCTGATTGAGACTGTGTATTTGTTTATTCAAAATCAAACCAATGTTGTTTCAAAAGACTAAGATACAAATCTGAAACTTAAACATTCAAGAAAATAGTGTCCCTTATGGAGTTTTATTTTGTTAGTATCTTGAGGTGTTTTTATTTAGTCTTTTTCCCTTCAAAAGTGCTTGACTAGATTAATAATACGTTTTAAATATGAGTTGGTAGTTTGGCAAACTTATGTTTCAGAGTAACTTCCCTAATATTCATAGACACTCACCTCCCCAAGTTTTCTCATGGAGCTTCTGCCAGCGAATGAAACAAAACAGGGCAAAACAATTAAAGACCTGACCAAAGGTGTTTGCAGCAGCAGACCCACTGAAAATGCACAGAAAACAAATCTTATCATCAAAATACTGAAAAAAACCCCACTAAATATGAAAAACATATTTATACTCACTAAACTCCAAAATCCCACCAGTACAGCAGAAAGTAGTTCACTATCACATTGGCAACATTGGCAACTGCAGATGCATACATCTGAGGCATGATCACTCCCTATACAGATGGTTCATGAGTATTACAACGACAACATACAGGAACCGAATGCAGTTATTAAGTTGTTGATTTCCTTAAAAGATCTGTACCTGGTTCTGAAGGTATGACAGTTGCAGCTGATATAGAAACATGGCCTGTAATATATAGATTCAAAGAATTATTGGATTTGAGTTCAACAGTACTGGAAATGCAATCCATAATCATCCATTAGTGGACCTTACTGGAATTGCTGGCAAATATGCAACCACATAGAGCTGTGCAATCCTGAGAGAGAGAGAAACTGTTAGTTTTCAGTCTGACACCATATTTTGAACTAGTACAGTCAATGTCAATACAAATGTGTTCAGTCAGTGGCACTTACCTGGCCACCTCTGGGTCCTGTCCCAGATAGAGAAGGAGCGGTTGGGTGTTCACAAGCAAAGCACAACAGGGCAAACTGAAGAGCATCAGAATTACGATGCCTCTCTGCAGTATTATGCCCACACGGAGAAGGTTCTTACTCCCAAATGTCTGAGGGCAAGATGTTAGACTGCCATAAGATATCAGTTATTTTACCATACATGCGAGAATGGTCTGAGGGATATCCAGTGTTGTGGGAAAGTTACTTTGAAAAGTAATGCCTTGCAATATTGCGTTACTCCCTTAAAAAGTAAATAATTGCCATACTTAGTTACTTTTTTAGAAAAGTAATGTGTTACGTTACTTTTGCTTTACTTTATCTCACCTGGGCAGGGCTTGTTTGTTTTTGCTTATGCCAAAAAAAGTTCTATTTTGGAGCAAATGTAAAACTACAAACAACAAAATGCAATTTCACACGTGTACAGTAGAGGGCACAGAATAAACCACGAATAAAAACGGAAAAATCGGAAGCCATTTTTATTTACGGTTTCATTGAATATCAGCAGCAAGTACATTGGTCAATAATGTGTGATTAAACGAGTTTTATTTATTGCAGGTTTGCGTATTTTGATTTTGCATTTCACTGTTTTTATTCATTTTGAGGAATACGGATAATTTTTTTGGTGCAAGTGAGATCTCTGCACTTGCAATTTTTTTTCAACATGATGACAGGAGAGCTTTCAGTCAATAAATAGGAAAGCAAAGTGACATGCATTACTTATTTGAGAAAGTTATTTCTCAAAATATTTTGCTGTAAATTTAAAAGTAACGCGTTACTTTAAAAAAAAAGGATTCTGATTACGTAACTCGAGTTACTTGTACTGAGGTTTTAAAAATAAAACATAGTAAACATTAAGTGAATCTTAGTAGGCCTTTCATTGTCCATGCTTTTGGTTTATTATTTTATTACACAGTTGGAGTGCTATTTGTATGGAAAACACACCTGTGATACCAAAGTGTCACATGGCAAAGCAAGTCCAAACCCCGTCGCTGCAGCTGTTACATTGATAGTCTGAAAAATAAATGCATTGGACAAATTGTGTGGGCTTGTGAATCATTGCTCATATTGTATATCTAAAAAAAATGTGGTACATAACACATATTTGCCGGCAGAAGTTTTGATTGAAGCAGACGTACAGCTGAGGCCATGGCGTAGCCCGCTAGCACAGTGTTCCCCATACGTCCACAAAACATTGTCACCACAAAGAAAAGGAGGAAATTCAGGAACCGACACACAAGCTAAGAATACAAACAAAGAAATATTTAGCACAAAATGGAGATGAAAGTCCTGGAGTCACATGGACTGCGGTTATTAAAGTCCACAGTCACATGGATGAAAAAAAAGCACCTATTTATCTGAATTTTTTTCTAATTATATTTTAACAGATCTAGTCTGGAAATATACTGTAAAATCTGCTTTAACATAATTTCCAATTTTTTTACACAGCTTATTTTATACAGGATGCAAGAATTAACAATCGAGAATCAACTCTTCTAGGATTAATTTGTGTTCAAATGGACATGCATGGAGACATGATACAAAATGTAACCAAAACAGATCATGGTCTATTCAGGAATGGATACACTCTAAACAATGCTGGGTTGTTTTAACCCAAATTTGGTTCAAAAAATGTAATTAAAAATTTTAACCCAACTTCAACTTTTTTTATTGCATTTTTAACTGCCAACATTTGGGTTTGTCCATATTAGACCCAAATTTGGGTTAAAACAACCCAACATTTTTTAGAGTGTAATTTCTATGTAAGCCACTGCATTTCTTTGCCAGCTCTTTCACTATTAATACAGAACAAGTATAGCACATTATCATGATGTGTATGTGACAGAATCCTCACCAGGGGTCCAGTCATGCGCAGGATGTGGTAGAGCTCTTCTCTGTATACCAGAGGGATGCAGCGCCTTAAAAAACCACAGCAAAACAGCTTGGCACTGGGCTCCATAGACAAAGTGTCAGTTCTGGGACTCGAGACGTCCATGATCTTTTCAGATGTGATCCTCGAAGCCACTGTAAGGGGTCTGACTGCTAGTTCATAGTCTGTTAGGGGCCCTTAGAGCTGTTCATTCTTCAGGTCCACATTCACAACCTTTGAAGGCTTACAGATTAACTGAGGTGAAGACAATGTGACGCTTTGATTTAATCCACAGGATGGGAGGAGAACGTTTGCAGTCCTGGCAAAGAGTTGCATTGTTTTGCAAGATCAATCGGTTATTTTAAAAAATCCAATTACAAGCTGATTAACAGCTATATTTACAGCACATTAATCAGCATAATGATATTGAATATATCCAGTGCTGCTTTGAATACTCATGGTGTACTTACGGTAACTGTGTAACAGCAGAAGACTCCCAGCTCTAACATGCCACAATTATACAGTCCAGCTCTAGCTCTACCTCAACAAAGAAGTTACAACGCTCTTTTCTGGAAAGTGTTACGCATTACTTATTGTTACTTAAAGGGTTAGTTCACCCAAAAATGAAAATTCTGTCAGTATTTACTCCCCCTCATGTTGTTCCAAACCTCTATGTGTTTATTTGTTCTGCTGAACACAAAGGAAGATATTTGGAAGAATGTTTTAATCTAACAGATCTCATTCCCCATTGACTACCATAGTAGGAAAAAATACTGTACATACTATGGTAGTCAATGGGGAATGAGATCTGTTTGATTAAAACATTCTTCCAAATATCTTCCTTTGTGTTCAGCAGAACAAATTAACACATAGAGGTTTGGAAAAACATGAGGGGGAGTAAATACTGATCAGAATTTTTATTTTTTGGTGAATTAACCCTTTAACTTAGCTTGGTGGAACATTTACTAGAGTAGTGTATTCTGGAGTATATGAAAACTGCACACATGCAGGACACTCTGACAGGATGCCCATATCCCTGATTGAAAGAAACATGACCTATATAGTTGTTTGAGGCTTGCAACGGCAATATATTGAGCTTTTTCAGTATCATGTTTATCAGTTTCAGTTTATTATGATAATGCGCCATGTAGTACTCTAACAGTCACCAGATTTCAATCCAGATGCAATAGAGCACATTGGTATGTGGTGAAACGGGAGATTCACATAATGGATGTGCAGCTAACAAATCTGAAACTGTGTGATGCTATCATGTCAATAGGGACCAAAATCTCTGCCGAATGTTTCCAACCCGGTAATAGCAAGGTTTACCTAAAAAAGCAGTTGTGTGTGTGTGTGTCTCCCTGCATGTGTGTCACCTACATCATGGGGACAAAATGTCCCCACAAAGACGGCAATATTCAAAATACTTAAGGGGACTTTTTTATCCCCATGAGGAAAACAGCTTATAAATCATACTAAAATGTTTTTTTTGAAAATGTAAAAATGTAGAAAGTTTCGTGTGATGGGTAGGGTTAGTGTAAGGGGATAGAATATACAGTTTGTACAGTATAAAAATCATTGTGTGTATGGAAAGTCCCCATAAAACATGCAAACACAACATTTGTGTGAACTTTGCATACAACTTTTTTATTTGCCTTGTGCATGTCATACACATTTTTTCATGCTAGCTCTCTTTTTTCTTTTTTCACATCCCCCTCCATTAACCCATTTAAAATGATTCATTCAACTGCTCTTTCAGTTTTCAAATTAAAACCACAAATATGACTTTAACATTTCAAAACCCCAGAATTGTTTATCATTACAACTGTCCTTTGCCGGTAATGTCAATTTTGATCTATTTTGGCTAGTTTCTGCATACATCTCACAGCCGCATGATCATTTACAAACAAATCAGTGAATCATCAATCAGGTTCCAAAAATTAATTAATATCTAAACGTGTGTTATAATATGTTGCATCATCATAGATACAGTATGTTATTTAAGGAAAAATGGTTACTTTTTTAAAGGACAGAAATAAACATTAACATCCTCCTCACACCAACCTTTGAACCACTGGGATGTTTAAAAAGCTGAACGATCTGGCAAGATTTCAAGAGAAAGAATAAGAAAGAAGAGAAATAAAATACAAAAATGTGTTGTATACAGCTGCACTGAATTTCTACAGAACTGAGCACATGAATTTTAATATTGTAAACGTGATAAATATTAAATTATACATGTACATGTGTGAGTGAAATCTAGCTGTCCTGCTTTCCGGAGCAATCTGAACCGAGAGCTTAATACTTATTATAATTCTTAAACATGCGTCATTTAAGTCATAAATTGAACGTTTAATACAATGTTTCCTATCATCTGTCAAATAAATCTTGCTCATACACCAACCGGTCTCCTTTTATTTCTTTTAAGTTAATTTTGTATTAAATTAAGGATGTATGCGAGAGATTAATAAATATCAGGATATCGGATTAATCATTTTCAACATTAATTATTTTAAAATATCAAATCAAGAATGCCGAAATCTACAAAATACTATTCAGAGACTGCTTTTGATTGAACATTAAGCTCTCGCATTAAGTTAAACGTGTTCTACTTTATATTTAATTTTTTTTTCAGAAATGCTAATGTAGTCATGCTAAAGACTTAATGTGGCAGAGGACAGGTACAAATCCCAGATTTTTACTAGGGATTGTAGCATTTTCCTTTCTCATTACTGATGAACATGGCCATGCAGGGCTTGTTTCATTCAAAGTGACTGTTAAAATGAGTTTCTGACCCATGAATGCCTGGGGAAAAGTTGGATTATGTCTTTCTTGTCACTCCCGAACAAAGACATTAGTATTCGCTGCAACAGCCAGCTGGGAATAATAAAATGTGAATAAAATACATTTTAAATAATGATCTTCAATTTCTACAAATAAAAAAATCTGCATGTTTTTAAATTGATATTTCAAAATAAAATTTTCTTATTCAGTGTTTGTCTTTGCAATTAAAAATATATATAATTTAATACACAATATAATATAATATAATATAATATAATATACATTTGTTATGTATGTAATGCTCCAACAATTGTTTGTAGCTCTATACTCTTGTTTTCAGATTTAGATTGAAGTTGAATGGATGAGAGTTGACGGTGTGGTAAAGTTTGATTCCAAAGTAGTATTTGACCTTAGAGCATAAGACACCTCAGGTAAAGGCATAATGAGATGGATGGCTATCCCTGCAGCTAGGATGAGAAGAGCAGCGAGGGTAGTCAGACCCCTCCTGAGGATCAGCTGAGAGGTAGAGAGCAGAGCTGTGGGCTTTTCCTCCACGCGAGTCACACCTGGCTCTCCATCCTGATCATTTGAGTTCACAGTCATATACTCTTCCCCATTCTGAGAGCAGACAAGACACAAGCTGAGTTTTCCGAGATGGTTTTTTGTAACAGATATAGTAAAAGTCAACAGACATACCTCTCTGTGCCTCACAGTGAGACTATCAGGGTACACTGTAGAGATTTGACTCTTTCCAGCTCGTTCCACTGCCTGAAATGTTATGTATATAACTTTATATCTAGTTATATAATTCAGATGAGAACAGAAATTAATTAAAGTCAGCATGAAGTCAGTGTTTTTCTTTCATAATGTGCTATCTGAGTGAAACGGAAACAAGGAAATCGTCATTTTGCGTCATTGGAGGATTTTTTGGCCAGAGGCTACAGACCACAGTAAGTAGAAGGGGCTGTCCCACATGTTTTCAACCCGACCATAGAGGGTGGGATCTCACTCACAGCATGTATACATAGTGTCAGTCATCTTTTTTTGGAAGGCTCTTGTTCGGTGGAGAAAGCTGAGTAGTAGGGGTTACCATCCTCTTTTTCCCGGACATGTCAAGATCGTAAAATGTCCTGGATTCAACTTTTGCTTTCTGCAGTCGCCACTCATTGTTTACATGTACACCTTTTGTTTCAATCTAAATGAATTCATTTCGATTGGTGAATCTGAATGTAGTGTTTACATGAACGCTAAAAATGTGATCCGCTCCTCCGTGAGAGATACGAGACTGGTGCGTCTCACAGGTCTCGCTCATCAGTAATCACGATACCGGCCTTGCTCGGTTCTCTCACGGCCCTCAGTCTCGTCCTGCTTGCCACAGTAAACATAACGAATGGCGACTGTAGAACGCAAAAGCCAAATCCTGGACATTTTGGGCGATCTCAAAATTCCGGACAGACCCAGTAGCCTAGATTTGTTGTTTAACCACTGCGCTCTATTGCGCTGGCAGCAAAGCAAGTGCATTTTGGGAGTTGTTGTCTTTCATCTACATAAGCCAAAAATACATTTTCTGTCTTTTCTCAGTCTAGAAAGCTCCAAATTCAAAAATTATTTCACATTTCTTGAATATACACATTCATCTTTCCAGACGTGAAGTATCCCTTTAAAGACGCATCTCTTTAGCCCAGATAATGCAAACTCAGTGTGTTCACTACAGTACCTACAGCTCCTAATGTGTGTGCACTAACTTGGATAGGGTTAAATGAAGAGGACAAATTCTGAGTATGGGTTACTATACTTGGCCTTAATGTCACTTTTAGTCATTGTTTTAGCAATGCAGTCTGGCTCCATTTTGATAAATAAAAAGCCACTTTTCATAATCCGATCTAATCCTAATGACAAAATCAAGTCCCATATCAAGTGTCATATTAAATGGACTGTGAAAGGCTTACAAAAACCGAAAATAGAAAGCACACCTAAGATTGAAATATGCAGTATACAAAGAGTTTAAATGGAGTCTGCTAAATTAGCCAAAGTAGAAGGAGAAGAATTGAAAAAAAGAGTCCTATTACGAGAGTGCTACCTTGCAAGAGCTGTAATTAAGATGGCCTACCTCTTTGGTCACTCTCTTCCAGTTGAGTCTAAAAATGACTACAATGAAAAAACTGGACTGCACACATACACAAATTAGAAGTCCCAGCCAAAAGCCTGTGAAAGCAAGAGAGGACATTGCTCTAGGACAGCTGTTATCTCATTACAGAAATGTTTTAATGAATGCTGTGCTCGAGACATATTAATGCAATTCTGCAGGGACCCGTGCTGGGTCCACTCATGTTCTCTACGTGCTTCAACCCGATGAAATTATGATTTATAAAGCACATGTTAACATGGTGACTAGAGAAGATGACAAGTTCACAGAATATCAACGAGTAAGTGACAATTTAAACTGTTAATAAGATCACAGAATAAAAAAATGAAGGAAAACAAACCAACAACTTGTAATTGTGCAGCAAACATGAGAGAGGTGCCAAGTGGAAGTCCAATGCAGTAATACCCGAAGAAATTAGCTACGGCTGCAATCTTCTGCTGCCCTGATCCTAACAGAATACCCATGCAGACACACTTGAAGAGAGAGTAAAACAATACATTTAGACATTTTTACAGACTTTTTAAGTGACTCTGCATTTAAAGCTGCAGTCTGTAGCTTTTTTGAGTTAAAAATTAATATTGCATATATATTGCAAAATATATATTGCAGGTCATTTGGAAAACACAGCCATCTAAAACGAGAAATAAAATAAATTCCTCAGAAAAAGTAAGAGCAATGCGAAGTACTCACAACAAGACCGTCAAAGAACTGAAGCACACAGTAGACGTTAAAAATTTTGGAGACAAGCGCCACAATACGCCTACAAAATAAGACACAATCTTTAGTACAGTACTGTCTAAAGAACATCTTTCTCTGATGTGGAAAACAATACTTACTCGTCTGAGGTAAATAAGAAACCAATTATGTTTTTTGTTGAAGCTAGCACAAGACCTTGCAAAACAGCCAAGACAGCTGCATCCAGATGATAAAGGAAAAGAAAAAAAGACATGTCAACCTTGAGCAGACGCTGAAAGATGAATGTGTCAAAGGAATATGGCTGTTTGTAAACCTGTGCAGGTCAGCGAGACCTTGCTGGTGATGATCGCTCCGGCCATATCTCCAGCTCCAAGTGCATTGCCAACACGTACACATGCGGCACCTTGAATCCCTAATGGAAACTGAGATCCCAGTAAAACTTGTTAAGAAAATAAACTACCGTTCCAAAGTTTGGTGTCAGGACGTTGCCTTTCGAGAACGGCTGACTCGTATAGTGTAGCTCTACACTATGGGAAAACACATTTTCTCGAGAATATTGAAGCCTTTAGTTTAAAAACGCAGTGCACCTGCACAGCAAGCATAGTGCAGGCTGTCTAAGCGCGCTAATTGGCTGGGCTGTAGCAACTGCACAAACCTATGGCGAAGCAGCAAGGACACGCAAACTTGTCAGGGTGTTTCCCGCTTTGCATGTGCCGAAACATGCCGGAATGGACGTGGCTGCTGACTATATAAATGGCCCATTTCGCCATAGGAATCAGATTTAATCTCCTTCGGTGAGCCTAGATTAGCATTTTAATTAGTCTCGCATCTCTTCGCTGACTTTTCTGGACAAAGAAGCCTCTATCGCCGTTGGCCCAGCAACGGAACGCAGTGACCTGCAGCAGCTCAGCGACTGGCGACCTCGGGCTCAGCTTCCTGAATTCGCTCTTCACGAGCTCTCTTTATGTCAGAGAGCGACCCCGCCCCTCGGGTCAGAGGATGAACGAGCTAGATCACGCTGGGTCAGTCCCCATGTGCCTCACTCACTCCAGAGAGCGAGTCACCAGGTCTATTCACAAAGACGGACCAGTGCCCCTCCCTCGAAGCGGCCGGCCCCATCTCAACTGTTGACCCCGCCCCCCGTCTCAGCCAGACAAAGACACCTGGCCCGCGAAGAGCTGGGTCTCGACTGGTCTACACTGGAACAGCCTGCTAGAAACCGCCTCGATGAGTGGTTCCTGCCGAGGTGCCAACAGGCCCCTCGCCAGCAGCCACCTCTCTTTTTCCCTGAGGTCCACGAGGAGATCACAAAGTTGTGGCATGTGCCCTACTCGGCTCGCCTGTGTACTTCAACCTTAGCGAAGCTCTCAACACTTGATGGTGCAGGGGAAAGGAATATGACAAACTGCCCCCCCCTGGAGTAGGCGGTGGCTGCACATCTTTATCCTCCCACCGCTGTTGGATGGAGGTCTAAGGCAGCACATTCTTCTAAGTCAGGGTTCACCAGTCTCGGTCCTGGAGGGCCACTGTCCCTGCAGAGTTTAGCTCCAACCCTGATCAAAAATGCCTACCTGTGAGTTTCTACTGATCCTGAAGATATTGATTAGCTTGCTCAGGTGTGTTTGACCAGGGTTGGAGCTAAACTTTGCGGGGACAGTGGCCCTCCAGGACCGAGATTGGTGAACCAAGTTCTAAGTCATGCAGAACAACTTCAGCTCTCACAGGCCAAGCTTAGGGATGTTGGTGGTGGAACCTGACCTTATTAATTCAGTATTTTCATCCTTTTATAAATCTTTGTATAGTTTTGAATTTCCATCGAACTTGACTGTGTTTTTACAAGACCAAGACTTTCCGGATATGAGCACAGATGCAATTGATCAGTTGAACTGTCCACTGACTAAGCAAGAACTTACATTGGCTCTACAAAATATGCAAAATAATAAGGCACCTGGGACAGATGGGTTCCCGGTTGAATCTTTCAAGGCATTCCACAATCAACTCATTCTGCTGTTACATGATGTTTATGTAGAATCTCAGTCAAATGGCTCTTATCCTTTCACTTTGAGAGAGGCTTCTATTAGCCTTCTTCTGAAAAAGTGCAAGGATCCCGAACTTTGTACTTCTTTTAGACCTATCTCTTTGATGAATGTCGGTACCAAGGTTAACAGTTATTGACTCTGTTCAGATGAGAGCTTGGCTCAAGCCAGACCGCACTCTATTCAACAGCTAGCTGCTTCGTTCAAAGCGGGCTCCCTCACGCCCCTCAGAACGTTTCAAAGGGCACTGGGCGTTAAGGTGTCTGCAACGTAAGTACTTCAGCTCGGTCTACTGTTTATGCTGTCTACTGCAGCCCCCTTCAACATTGGCTGAAACCCCTAGATCCATATTCGTATGAAGCACCACCCAGACTTTCCTTTCTCTAAGATCTGCTGGACGCGAGCCGGACCCCCGAGTTCAAAGTGCATGCGGCTACCATAGCAGCCCTCCATGCTGCTGTGGCCGGCCAATCTTTAGGGTTAACCAGCATGACCTCACCCTCTATCCCTGCCTGGGACCAATCTACGTTCCTCAAGGACCCCCTTTTGAGACCCTTCAGTCGGTTGACTTAAAGCCACTTTCGCTCAAGACCGCACTCCTGCTAGCCCTAGCATCGGTCAAGCGAGTAGACGATTTACAAGCACTCCTCCTGCCTTCAGTTTAGGCCCTACGACTCCATAGTTGTCCTCAAACCAAGACATGGTTATGTACCCAAGTTTCTCTTGTTCAGAGCCCAGGTTATTTCACTATCGGCTCTTCCCCTGTAGGAAGACAATAGAGACTTGAATCTACACTGCCCTGTCAGGGCTCTCAGAGTCTATTTAGGAGCATTCTGCCTGTTCAGGCAGTTGGAATAGCTTTTTGTATGCTTCGGTGGCCGCACAAAAGGGTCCCCGGTCACGAAGCAGAGATTTTCACAATGGATAGTAGATGCTATCTCTTTAGCCTACACTTCAATGGGCCTTCATTGCCCCATAGACGTCAGTCAGGGCTCATTCCACAAGGGGCATGGCCTCTTGATGGGCATGGTCCAGTGGTGTACCAATTGAAGACATTTGTGCTGCAGCCGGCTTGTCTTCGCTGTCCACATTTGTAAGATTTTACAACTTGGAAGTGCCGACCCTGCAGGCACGGGTCCTTTCTATATAGGAGGTCTTGGTCCCTGTTGGGCCCAAACCTTTACATATCCCTTCGAGGGCCCCATCTCCCCGTTGGATTTTGACTTTAGGTCTAGTAAAAGTCTCAGGCTTGTCCGCTCTAGGCGGTAGTCAGAGCGAAGTCATCAGCTAATAGCTCAGCTTTTTAAAATAGTTTCCCATAGCGTATAACTACGCAATACGAGTGAACAGTTCTCGAAAGGGAACGTACTTGGTTACTAACGGTTACCTACAGGTATGCAGTTATGTTTTTTTAATGAATAGAAAGTTTTAAAAACTTAATTTATTTGAAACCGAAATCTTTTGTAACATTATAAATATTTTTACTGTCACTTTTGATCAGTTTAATGTAAAAGGGCAATTAAGAAAATAATTTTGAACAATAGTATATGTGTGTAGCTAGTTCATAATTTATTAGTTCTCTATTCTCTATGATTCTTTATAGCCTATACTTTTTTGTCTGGTTATGTGAAACAAAGTAAATCATTGTTTGATAAGTAGTGGGAGAAGAGAAGCATGTGCCATGTTCCTTAACTTAATAATTGGTGGAATATTGAGGCTTAAATTACCATGTAGTTGATAAAAGCCAGCATAATGACTGCATGTTGAGCTGCAAGATCCAACTCTCCCAGCATCCCTGAAAGAGACAGATATTTGGAAATGTGTTTCATTTGCAAATAGCCGCTGCCAAACTAACCTGAAACCACATTAAGCACTTCATCCAAACAAACATTGTAATTAGAGGATGTTCTTCATGACAATAGGCCAAATAAAATGCATAGTACTATCACATTTTACAGGCTTTTTTCTGTATATAAACACAAAGAAATTGTTTATGACTTTAGTCCTTTAGAAATTACCTGCTAAGAACCCTCCAGCCTCATAAATCCACCACTCGAAGCAGAGCATCATGGTACTGGGGATGGCCAGTTTCATATATCCATCCCACTCCTGTAGTGAGTCACATGACCAGCCTGTGGTGGGCAGAGAAAGATACTGCAGACACAGATGGAGTGGTATTTTATGGACTTATTAAAAGATTATTCACCATTAAGTTTATCTAGTTTGCTCACCTCCCCATGTTTGAATGTGGAGCTTCTTCCAGCGGATATATAAATATAGGAAAACACAAATATAGATCTGAGATATGGTATTGCCTGCTGCAGATCCACTGAAATACAAATACCAGAAAAACGCATGACTTTAAAACTAGTACGGTAGTTCAATATCATTGTATGGATGGACATATAAGCAATATTAAATGAAAAACTGTCAAGGCACGAATATGAGTGTCTTGTGGTTTATGGAAGGATTATGTTTGATAGTTTTTATACATTTTTATTTGACACTTTAAACACATTATAGTGAGTTACTGCATGTGTTTTTAAAAAATCCAAATAAAATAATCCCAAACAAAGCCACAGCAGAATCAGATCATGCGTATCCAAACAACACACAATGGCATTTCAATTAATTCGTCGTTTCACTACCATGCAAATCCTCCCCAAGGCCTCAGGGGATAAAGTGCCCATTAGATAGGCACTTCAGAATCTCATCCAGATACTTTTCGCCTACTGTTTTATGAATACTGTAAATTTTAACATTTTACTGTTTTTCACCTACTATATATAATAGAAAAGTATGCGATTTCAGATTCAGACAGTCACTTGATTCGTTGCTGAAGGAATCCGTTTGTTTGAATGAATCGGTTGAATGAATCACTAATAAACATATAAACAGTGAAAAATCCCTGTAGCCTACAGGACAAAATATTAGGAAACAGCGCTTAAACAATCAATTTCACCGACTGTAACTATAATGAATATCTAACACAATACATATTGTATGTAAATGAGATGACAGCACATCGACTTACTATAACCCAAGGTTCAACCAGTTGAGAAGGATGTAGTTTGTCGCCACATTTGCAATGTTGGCTGCAATGGCTGCATACATCTGAGGAAGAATCACACCCTACAGACCCAAAACAGCTACTGTTAAAGCTTCCTTTGGATTTATAGTCACTGCTGTGACATTATATTGAGTGACGCATACTGTATGAAGCTACATTTACAAATCATACAGCAAGAAGATCTTTGCCAGTAAAGATCACAGTTGAAGGCTGGATTTGATAGGATACTCTGCAGGTTCTAAGATCTTGCATGCAACATTACTTTGAAGAGCTCAGCTAAGGTGCTTATCTACACTTACAACTAGCCAAAAGAAGATTGCATACCTGGTTCTGGAGATAGGCTACTTGCAGCTGATGCAAAAACATAGCCTGTGTGAAGAAAGAGAGAAAGGGAAACACTGGAGCTGGGTGAATATGTGTATGATTTTTCAGGATATAGAATGTAGATTATATGGCAAGAGGAAAATTATGCTATTTTTTATGACTCACTGGGACTGCTGGCAGGTAACAGACCACATAGAGTTGAGCTATCCTGAAAAGGAACACATTTGTAACTGATATAGAGGACAAGGCACCATGAATAATTTTAAATAGAATGCTGCGAGTTATCACAGAGCAGAATAAATCTGCTGCACTGTCATTTCCATCCTGGCCTGCATCTAAATTGTTTATTAGTGCATGTGTCTTTGCACATTAAAACGCCTCATTTAATATTTATTTAGGAAAGGAAGTCACAAAATATGTTTGTAGAGATAGGGAGAATTGTCATTCTAAGACGCTCTCTTGTTTGCTCAAAACCTTGGGGACATATAATTTTACACTAAAACGCATAAATATTGTTTGTTTTTTTGGCTCTAGTCAAAATGATTTATTCATTCTAAATGGTAAACAATAAGTCATTCAGCACATACTTTTATTAACCTGGTTTAGTTGCAGTTTAAGCCACCACACCATAACATTTTACAGTTTTAACAGTTTTTTTTTCTTATCCAGTAAAAATATCGAAATATCTATACATTTTCTGCAAAATTTCATAAAACATGTTTTCGTAAAATATAGATTTTTCCTTGTTTTTAGCATAAACATCAAAAGATTTTGTTAGGGTTAAGAAAAAGCACTATATGTATACAATTATTAATGTATTATACTTTCGGTAGGGTTAGTTGAATAAGTTGACATATAGGCTTGCAAAGATAGTTAGTATAATGTCTGTTGGTGGATGATCAAAATAAAGTGAAGCAGATATTAAGCAGACTGTCTGCTTGACATGTACATGTAGGTGCAACGTTACTTATAGTAAACACAGTGTCTAAAAGGGACCATCGAAATAAAGTGTTACCGATTTATTTGTTTATTGACTCACCTGGCCACCTCTGGGTCTTGACCCAGCAGAAGAAGGATGGGTTGTGTGTTTATGAGCAGAGCCCAACAGGGCAAACAAAAGAGCAGGAGGATCAGGACACTTCTCTGCAAGATGATGCCAACACGGTACAGGTTCTTCCCACCAAAGGTCTGAGGGGAACATAAGACCAAATCTCAGGCACGGCACTTTAAACTGATACTGTATTCCTGAAATGTCTCATCTGGTACCAAATTCAGAATTTCAGTATTCTGTATTTAACTGCAAGAGTCCCAGTAGGGTACAAAAATTGCTTATTTAGCATTTTCCTAATTTAATACACATCTGACTTTCTGTACAAAATATTAATTTAATACATTTGCAAGGGGTTTTGAATCGTTTCCAGTGTGGTATGAGACTTTTGGACCCCACTGCATCCACATGCACTGTAAAAATGGATATGCTTTATTGAATCAAAAAAAAAAAAAAGTGAAAACAGATTACAAGCAATATTATTAATTTAATTTAACAAATTTGAATTGAGTAATAATTAATCAAATTGATTCCTTAATAGTTAACCATTTAATGAGTAAAACAAAAAACAAAAAGACAGAAATTGAAGTCACCATTATGGTGATCAGTGTTTTTCTCCTTCAGTGATTCTGCTTGTTAACATCAGGTGTCTTCAATGTTGGCAACATAAAATAAAGAGTTCTTAATTAATCTTTGACGTCTGTCTGTTCATGAGATATTTTTGTAAACTCATTTTAAATGGTTAACGTTTAAGGAATAATTTGATTATTTATTACTCATTTCTAATTTGTTAAATTTAATTAATAATATTGCTTGTAATCTGTTGCCAAAATTCTATTGATTAGATAAAGCATATTCATTTTTACAGTGCAAATTTTCATACCTGAGAGATAAGTGTGTCAGCAGCCAGCGCAAGACCTCCACCTGTAGCCGCAGTTGTTATGTTTATCGTCTGATAAATCAGAATAACACGTATCAGTTACTTCTCAGCCATGCTCTGAACTACTTCAGTACACTAGCTTCAAAACCAAGGGCTTATGATATGTCAAACCTCTGATGGCTGAACTTTACGACACTGTGCATTTCATACACCATTGTTTATTTTACAACAAAGCAAACAGGTTGCAACACTCAAGAGGAATAATAAGCAGACTGAAACAAACTCACAGCTGAAGCCATTCCATAACCAGCCAGCTCACTGTTTCCCAGGCGACCACAAAACATTGTTATGACAAACGGCAGGAGATAATTCAGAATGCGCGATGCAACCTGGAATGACAACCTGAGAATTGTCAGTAAATGAGAAGTGTGTGAGAGCACTAAGCCATTTGAGGAAATAATGACAGTCCTTCGCAGATTCATTCCTTACCACATGAGGTGAAAGTTATGTTATGTTAATATGAATTACCACATGAGGTGAAAGTCTATTATGTTAATATGAATATGTGAATATTTCATCCTTATGTTATGTGCATAATATTAGTGTATAGGTAAGAGAAGTAAGAGTTCATACCAGGGGTCCGGTCATGCGCAGGATGTTGTAGAGCTCCTGTCTATATACCAGAGGGATACATCGTCTCACGGATCTACTGCAAAAAAGCTTGGAACTAGGCTCCATTGACGAAGCTTCAGTCCTGGGACCTGAAACCTCCATGAGCTTCTTCGACCTGATCTGCAGTGAGGCCAGAGACACAACAGGGAACGATCCTGCTGCTCCAGCAGTGTTGCTCACAGGTCAATGTTGCAAAGTTTCACCATCTTAAAAGCTTACTGATTAGATGAAGCTGATGTGTTTAACTTTGCATTTAGATGAGCTAAAGACAATTCGCATTTCTTGAGAATTTGAGAAATGTGTTCAGCATGTGCCATTACAGTCAGAACTTTTATTAGATGACATAGATTTAGATATGATTAACAACATATTTGTGCCATTTTAATGCTAACCTTTAAAGGTGCAAAACTATTTGTTAAATGGAATCATAAGCAACTGGAATGGTTCCAGATTTCTATCCCTATTATGTCAATGTGATTCCATATAACCTAACATGTGGCCAATGATTGGAGTTCACTGCATGAACTACATACAAGAGGGGGAAACTGTGCTTTAATTATAGGCCTATATGGAAAATGCAGATGTTGGAATTGAGAATTTATTCACCTGCAGGTGATAGGTGCGTGAAAAAAAAAGACCAAATAAGTAGGTCATAAAATCTACAAAAAAAACAAGGAAAAGCGTATCTTTTTCGACAGCACTTGATTCAGTAGTACTAACACTTTCTCTTCTCTTCTATTTAAAAAAAAATTGCACTAAAAGTAAACTGAGAGGGGTTGTAGCACTTACGTATTGTTGTCCTACTGTTAGTTTAACTGCTTCTATTTTTCGCTTTGGATAAAAGCATCTGCTAAATGAATAAAAGTAAATGTAAATCACCAAACTAATTGATTTAGAGACGATAAATGATGGGGCTAATGAAATTCTGCCAATTATGTTGAATCTTTGCAACTGGCTATTTAGTTAGCTGGTAGTCCAAATAAATACAGCTTGATTTTGCCACATGCATCAATTTGGTGCTTGTTTATTCATGTTCCTCACCAGAAGTAGGCTCTCAAAACACTCTCAGCCCACTTTTGGCTATTTCTGTCAGGTATAATGTATTGTCCACTGCGTTTAGCTTTGGCAGTCTGAAATGAAAATAACCCAAATGTGAAGAGCCTTTCACCTCCTGTACTTTCTATTTTAGCCGGTTGCAGGTATAGGGAAATAACAGTATAATTTATCCTGCACAAACTTTTTGACACATTTGTAGCAATAACGAGATGGCGAATGTGATTTTTATCAACTTTACCATTATAATTCAGCAAGGTTTTAAGTTTATGCAGCAGTTGGCAGTGAGGCAACTGCCGCTTACTTTCGTTTTGCCAATTATGTTTATTTTGTTATTAAAGTTTTGCTTGCCGGTTCCTACCTTGCTCTTCCCAGAGTCTTTAACTTTGTTAGTATTTTTAGCCAATCAGTTGAATTATAAATGCCAATTAACAAATCACTTTATCCTCACCTAAAAAAATCATATCAAAAAAGAAGCTATGTGTATAAAGTTCATAATAATTTACAGAACATCTATGAAATAAAATTATAAAATAACTTAGCCATAATGCAAGTATATGTCAGACAGAATAAACTCATCACCATTCCAACATAAAAAAAAAAAAACAATCTCAGGTGTGGCATATCAAGATGGATTATTAGGTTGATTAGGTTGAGTCCATTGTGGTGTCAGTGGACAAAAAGAGAAAATGTGTTCTAGATCTAGACTACAATACCATGAAATTAGTAATAGAAAAGTTGAGACGAAATGAAACAAGAAAAAAATAAAAAATAAAACAAAAAGCACAAATTTAAACCCTAGGACAAAATAACAATAAAAAACAAACCAAAGACTAAACAAGAAAAAAAAAAAAAAATAAAACCCTAAAAAAGCTAAAAAAAACAACAAAACAGATAAAAAGAACAGCAAAAAAAAAAAAAAAAATAGAAAACCAAACTAGGAATGAAACAAGTTTCTCAGTACGCACAAAAAAATAAATAAATAAAAAACACATAAAGAACTAAAGTAGAAAACAAAAGAACACTGAACCCCCCAAAAAAGGCCTTTTCACATTTATAAGGTCAACATGCAAATCATACAAATTCTAATTGTATATTCTTGCATTGTAAATATTTTCTGCTATTTCACAAACGTTAAAGGAGTAGTTCACTTTAAAAAACAACAACAACAAAAAAAACTTTGCTGATAATTTACACACCCCCATGTCATATAACACATCCATGTCATTCTTTCTTCAGTCGAAAAGAAATTAAGGTTTTTGATGAAAACATTCCAGGATTTTTCTCCATGTAATGCACTTTACGGTTCAAGGTAAAGACAGTTTCAGAGCAAACTGCAATCTGTTCAAAGGACTTTAAACGATTCCAGACGATGAAGGGTCTTATCAAGCGAAACGTTCGCTCATTTAAAAAAAATAACAAAGTTTAAGTTTTATAAGCTCAAATGGTCGCCTTGCTCTGTTCTGTGATGCGCGTTCGTGACTCTCCTGTTCAAACTCGTTTATCAAAATGAACGAATTTTTTTCGTGTCATTTGGTTCATTCAACGAACAAAATGAACAAATTGACTCGGGAAAAGATTCGTTCATTTTGATGAACGAGTTCGAACAGGAGAGTTGGATCTTGGATGACATGGGCTGAGTAAATTATCAGCAAAAGTGAACTACTCCTTTAAGGCCGTAATGATGATTCTGGACGTATCAACTGTACCTTTAACAGGAACTTGCTCGAGACACTGCTGGATGCTACACGACTTTCTCATGAACAACAGTGAGTTGAAAACTAGTCCCCGGGGGCTCATGGGCTTGACCCTGCAGCTGAAGAATGTTCTGTAGCAGGATATGAATTTTCACAGACTAGCTGCTGTATGTAGTTAGTGAAAGTGTACGCTATAGTGCTTATTTATGGTTATTTTGCAGAAGGTTTTTGCTTGTCAGGTCAAAACAAGTCCTTGTCCAGGAAGTCATTTGATACTAAACTGCAGTCTCAGAAAGCTCTGGATCATCAAATATGCATCATAATGAACACTGAAAGTGTTCTACTGTAGTGGAACTACTGATCTTAAAGGCCCCCTTTACAGGAATCATATCTACTATGAGTTTGATTTGCTTCCATTAAAAGGCTGGAGGAAAAAAAACCCTCAATGATATTGCTGTGCTGGGACCAATGTTCATAATGATATAAAAGGCTCTAATGTGTAGGCTGAATATTCATTTTTAAAGCCATCAAGTTAAATTTACAGAATTATATCAGATTGAAATAGGCTCTACGTTGTGAGGTTTCAAAATATGGTCCCTGCCTTTGAAAAACGTTTGTAGTATTTCTATAAAAGGAATAGAGTTCAGATCAGATCAAATGAAATTGCAAGGTAAAAACAAGATGGGACATTTTCTAATTAAAGCAACCCAAATGACAGGAAAATATAAACATGAATTTGCAGAGAAGATGATTAATAGTAATGCTCATTTTGGTGATAAATTAAGTGATTATCAGCAATATTTGAAAAGAGGAATTACCACGCAAATATGATAAAGATGCACTCAATCAAAATTGTGCAACAATGCAGGCACGTCAAGATCAATAATCCAAGCGATAAATTCACACAATTTGAACCTGCTGACCTCTCCAGTACATATCTGGAGCATTAATATAATATGCTAAAGTGTGTGAATTGTGATTAAAGGAATTCCATAGCATGCAAAAGAATGAACGGGATACATTTATTAAAGGCTTAGTTCACCCAAAAATGAATGTAATTAATTACTCACTCTCATATCATTCCAAACCCGCAAGACTTTCGTTCATGTTCGAACACAAATGAAGATCTTTTCGATGAAATCTGAGAGCTTTCTGTCCTTCCATGACATCTACGCAACTGAAACTTTGACGCTTCAAAAAGTTCATAAAGAGATCGTAAAGCGGATCCATATGATTTGAGCAGTTTAGTCCGAATTTAAACAGAAACATAAGATTAATCTCTATGAAATAAAAAATCTTTGGAGACTTTTGGGATATTGTAAATGCACAACTGCAGGAGAATATGTTCACCTCCTGACTTTAAAAGACCTGCGACAATATCTTAAAAACTGTCCCTTGAGAGGGAAAGAAAAAGTTAATTTCACTAGAAACCTTGTCTGCACATTTGTCACTTTCAAGGATATATGTTATTTGAGCTCGGTTTAAACTACTCAGAGTGGCTGACACAATTGAGTGATGAAGACAAAACTGACTGGTATGTTTTGGATCACTCACTCCTTTGCTCAGGGATAATTTACACCAGCGCAAAAGCGATTTGCATACTTATTAAAGAATAGGTCCGTCCATCTAAAGCGTTGTGACTCTTGACAGAGTAATTAGTATAATATCACTGAGCTGCTTCCTGTATGTGTGTGTGAATTGATAGAGCTGTAGGCTACTCATCTTTCAGGCTGGTCAGAAAAAAAAAGTTCAGACTTCACAGTACTGACAGAGCCACAATCTGAATTGATATAACAAGCAGGTTTTACAATGGTTTATTTAGTTAGTACACAGCTCGGTATAGGCCCAACAGAAGCACATCCACTGAAATAGACTGACTTGACCAAATATCACAATAATACATGTTGTCAAGAAACCTATTATGGGAGGCCACTGACACAGTTGTGTATTGAATATGTCTTTTACTTGTTTTAAAATACAAATATACTTTTTCACACACCATCCAAGAATATAGATATTAGACAAATAAATATACCTCTTGATAAGGCTGAAAACAAGTCCATATACAGTATATTGACAATTCAGCAATGTTGTTTCAATGATCACACACACAAATGAATTAAAAAGTCTGCCTATAAAAACTACTTAAATTACAGGCTCGGTTTAAAACTGGAACTATCAGAGGATTAAAAGGCCACTGGCACAATCTCTGATTAAAAATGTATACAATAAATACAAAAATCTCCAAACTAACACTCACACAAGACTTGCATACATGTAATGTACATACACATATACGTAGATACAGATCCACACAGACCAAAACACTCATGCCTAGTACCCACTTTCACACAGTTTCTAGGGCGATATAAAGAATTACAGTTAAATATACAAGAAAATAAAATAATAAATACTTTAGTTGTGAAATTGC